AACGAGAAATTCGTGACGCCAAAGAAAGTCAGGATGGATGGGATACCCCAGAAATATTCCAGCCCTGGAAGTAGGTTCAAACTTCAAAGGCTTGTTGGGTCGATTCCTCGGGCTCCTGCTGGATGTCGGCCCGCCAGCTGCTTAATGGCCTCAGCAGCCTGACCCCATCCATGAAAGGGCCCCGCAAACAGATGAGTCAGGGACGATCCAGACCTGCGAGTCAAGGTCCACCAAGACCACTCGGGGCATGGCGCCGGCCACCAAAGACGCCCCTTTCACCCTGAAGTGGCAACCGGGTCGGTTAAGGAGAGTGGTGAACTGTACTGGGGCTCTCAGAAGCATCTCAAACATGAGCCGGCGCACCCGAGGGGTGGCACGCAGGTCAGGTGGAAGACCAGGAGAGAAGACAGAGCGCGCCCATTCCGTTGGGGCCGGTCCAAAAGTTGACTTGACAACCAAAGGGCAAATATGGTCCGGGAAAATCTTCTCCAAAACGTACCTTCCATGGTGAATGATAATCTGGGTGGTCCGTGATGTTATGCGCCATGCAATAGTGTTTGGCCGCATGTGGCCAATACGAATGATGCAAACCAGCTTGTTCAAGGTTGGTCCTCGTGCCCTCGATAATCGCCCTGACGTTCCTCTCAGCAATAGCATTAGTTTTGGACATGTAGTTTGTACTTTGAACGTGCTTCCATTCCAATTGATCCGCCGCTTTCACAAGTTCAGGAGCCCGATCACTGTAAAATACGTTCACGGTTTCCCCGGTGCGGACAAAGTGCTTGAATGCCATCACACACTGATGAGAGGTTTTCCGTGCTGCTGGGTAAACATAACGGAAATCAGTGGCAACATCTCGAACCACAAGTGCAACCCTAGATCGATCAATGCCGATTTCACGATCATCTGATGTGATAAGATGGTCCGCCGTAAGGTGATCACCAAACTTCTTGGCCTCGACTTGAGTGGAACCTCCCTTCTGTCTTGATGGGTATTTGTACATCTTCGCCCTGTTACAAGTCTCGCAAAAGGGGTTCTTGGGAGTGTGACACATCAAGTGCTGGAGTGAGGTCGCCTCATCACGCAAAGCTGCTTCACCGCGTTCGCGAGGGGCGTCCTTCAAAATAGGCTTTGACACAAAATCGGAAGCGATGACCTTAGGCGCATCTTCGGAGGGATTGTCATGGCACTCTTCAATGACCTCACCTTCCGGTTGGCTAATGGTGTCCTCAAGCAAGAAATCATCGTTCCCCAATTCATCCCCATCATCCTCATTGGTCACAAGCACCTCTTCAACAGCTTCCGGTTCCTCGTCAATGACCAGAACTTCATCATCAATTTCAATGGGAGCTGATGGTAATGATGTAACCTTTGGAATGCTCTGTGACAAAGCTGGAACAGCATTTTGAGTTGCTGGGGGAATGAATGGAACATTGTCTTTGACCTCGAGCTTGATACGTGAACCATCCGGCAGCCGGAAATAAGGTCTGCTGTGGGCTCTCCAAACGAAATCATATCCGTCCCTGAGGCATCTCATACCCACGGATAACACGGATGGAGCCTTGTCAAGAACATATGGCCGAACAACACTATCGGTCTGTTGGATCTTGACCCTGGCCTGCTTGGTACCGATAATATTCCCATTGGCTGTGGAAAATTTCAGAGGTTGAGACGATTCGTAAATACACCCCATCTCCGCATCGGTTCCCGATAGCAAATCCTGAGAAGCTCCTGTATCTGCGATCCACGGAATGTGAGAAGAATCCATTGTCATGCGAGCAACAGCAGCTTTCCCCTTTTTGGGGGAGGTCACGGGCTTCTCTGGCTCGGCCGTTAGGCCTGCGGGGATGCAGGAATCACAGCCGAAATCAGAGTCGCATTGAAATTTGCAAGGAGTCTTCGTGCCTTTGAGCAAATCCTTCATCATAGCTTCATGCATGGTGCCGATAAGAGTTGCGTCAGAGACAGCTCTCTCATCGAACTTCGGAACATAATCAACAGGAAACTCGTGTGCAAACCTTCTCGACGAGGCAGTGTAGGGCCAAAGCTCGCCGTCAGTCTCATAGTTCGAAATAGATGGGTAATCAGAGAATTGCACGCATTTCTTGATACATGGCATACTCTGGAAAATATCGTGATTCACACTAGGCAAGCAAGGATGCGAGGCGACCGAGTCGAGGGTCGCGGCGCACACCATCGCCTGGAGGAGGCACACCGCAGCATTGCTGCCTTTTGACGATCGCGGAGACTTGAGGGACTGAGAACCCTTTGAATCTTTCGAATCTTGAGAAGAAGGCCTGCTTCCCTTCTTCTTCTTCTTTTTCTCTCTCGGCGATGTCTTGGGGGTGTCTCCACTAGCGGTCTTCTCGGCCTTTGGGGCTGGAGCTGCCTTGGAAGTTGCGGGGTGCTGCCATGGGCAATCTTTCCCTCTCTCACATCTGTTCGCTTTGAAGAACTTGCACACCTGGGGCTTCGAACCAGGGGGACTCTGCGAACGATACTTCCTTGGCGTCTGGGATCTGATCCGCCCTTCTTGCCTTTCCCCTTACCTTTCGGTGCCTTAACATGTTCGAATCGGCAGTCTGAACCATAGGTGCACTGGCCAGTTTGAAATTTCACACATACACCCTTGGGGATTCCAGGAACTGCAGGGTTGTTCGATGGAGTCCTGCCACGTCCCGTTGTGTTGCTTGACATAGCATCCCGCATGTGAACAAGCCTCTTGCGCTCCAAATAATTCCTCGATGCGTCAATCAAGAATTTATAGGAGTGCTTTTCCGTCCCTTCCTCAGCCCGCTCATACTCATTGAGATCATGACTGAGAGGCCGAAACTTTCGAATCTGGCGGTGGAACAGCGCTTCAAGGGTCTTCTCATTTTGCTCATTGCCCATTCCAGCGATGACCGTGTCCCATCTCGTCATGAAGTTCTTGAGGTCCTCGTTGATGAGCTGGACAGAGAGCAAGTCCTCAAAGTCGTAAATTGCACCATGTTTGATGTTCGTGCTGAAGTGCTTGTGAACCATCAAAAGAATTTGGCGCCCCCTCGCATAGCGTTTCTCCTTTGCTTCTTGTTCTTTGAAAATGTCGACTTGCCGCGCGAGGTCGCCCTCCAAGATATTCGTCAACGCCGATGCCAGCTTTGCATCAAGATGGACAAACATTCCTGAATCACGAAGGACTTCAACAGTTTGACCTGGGATCCAAGTTGCCTCAATCCACTCAAATGCCTTTTCGGGTTGGTCGGAAGTAGCAACAACAGCATCCCTAACTTTGATCCTCCAATTACGGTACTGTTCGGGCTTCGGGAATCGGGGAATCTGAATTCTGTCACCCTCCTTTACACGAACGCGTTCCGCTGTCGGATCGCTCGAATTACCTAAGTGCTTCAGTAGCTTTCGTCGAAAGGATTCATCCGATGCAGTTGAAGTTGATGACGAAGATGACGAGGGAGAAGATGACGGATCTCGTCGCCGGCGTCGGCTACGGTCCTTCTTCTTTTTCTTCTTCTTCTTCTTTTTCTTGTCCTTGTCATTTCCACCATCACCATCATCGCAAGGCCAACCGTCTCCGGTAGCAGCATCGTCCACGGCCCCGGCGGGAACGGATCCGTCTTTGCCGTAGGGGTCGCTCCCGACCTTCGTCCAACTGTGTGAGGAAGCATTCGAAAGTCCGGGTGGAGATGCAGCCAAAGGAACTGTCGGGATAGCCAAGGGGGTAGCTGGTGCCTGCTGAACAGGAGGCGCAGGGGCAGGAGCATCTGCTCGACCATAGCCCTTAGCTCTCTGATCTGTCTCTCCTGCTCGCTGATCGTATTAATGGCGTTTTGGTACTTCATCTCGGCTTCTCTTTCTGACTTCATGGTGTTCACACGCTGCTCAGCATTCATCTGAATCTCGCGTCTCATGGCCTCCGATTGGCTTTGGAGTCCGGCAATGATCTCACCATGCCTTGCCTCCGCCATCTGGGCGACCATGGGACCGGTGTCCTGATTCACGAACTGGTTGAATTGGGCATTGTTCTGGGTAGCGTTGATCTGCTGATAGTTCGTCACGTCCTGGTTGATCGTCATTGAAGGATCGAGGTGGACGTTTGCAACATGTTGGTTGAACTGATTCATGGACTGTGGCATAGGGTTTCCCCTTGCGAGATCGGTCTGGGGGTCGTACATGACGATGTCACCATGCCGATGCCGATCTGATCCAACAGGTGAAGGAGATCGAGCACCAGACCGCCCAGTCCTCCCACGGTCACTCCGGGATCGAAGTGATTCGGGGCCCTGACTGCTCAGTGCTTGTCCCTTCCTGATGAGCTCCCTGGCCACTTGGGAGTTTGCTCGACTAGTCGGTTCATATTGCGAGGCGTCTTCCTCGCCTGCGGGCTCATCAGGTGTGGGACGCACCTCGGTATGGGGTAGTCCAGGGTCGCCATCCATGGCGTACAACTCTGTACAAAGAGCCGCTTACGGCTGATAGAACAGGTTAAACAACCGGGAAGGGTCACAATTGAACCCTGTACACAGCGCGCTTTTTCTTGAGCCATATGCAGTCGTAATGATGAGACTGCACAAGTGAGACATTCATGCATTGGGGTTTTACATGGTTGATAAATACATCACGTTGCAAACTACAGTTTGTCTGTTTATCTGTCTGTCTTTCTTTCTTTACTTCCTTTCTTTCTTTACTTTCTTTCTTTCCAGTCTATATCTTAAAACTGAAATGTAAGTCGTCGAGTCGCTGCACAGGCGTTTACAGGTCTCATTTGCTCATATTTGCTCTCTCCTTCAGCGCCTTAATGGGGCAACTAGAGATGGCAAGCAGCGGTTCCGGAGCCTTCTCTTGTAGCTCTGCTCGGCTTTGCGCAGCCATAGGGCTGCATCACCGTTCCGTGGGCGCAGGCTGGTTGTGGCCTGTGCTCACTGCTCGGTCCGGTCTGGGGAATTTGGATCCCGAGCGGGGGAATTCTGACCGATCCCGGGGCCCACTTCTTCGATGCCGCCGAGGTCAACCATGTGCAAGAACGTGCTGCTGGCCAGGGCCACAGCAGAACCATTCCACATTCTTTCCGCTCTGCCACCCTTCGAAGAAGGCAGAGCTCTCAGGGCTTTACCTCATGTGGCTTTGCTTGAAGGCTTTGGGTGTTTAGCCACGACGCGGTGACTGGACAAACGCGGGGAACCTGCACTTCCAATAATTAAACACGAATAGAACAAATGCAAAGTATAGGTATGGGACAGAATCATTCGACTCCGTGGGTGCTACAAGCTCTGTGTCTTTATTGCAGGCAACGGGGCAAAAGGAGTTGGAAGAGGCTTGCTGCTGGTTGCTTGGTCACAGGCCATCAGTCTGCGTTTTTTGGCGCTGGCAGGAGCGGCTAGCTAGTGCTGAGCTGCAGTTTTGGCAATGCACATTTGCTTCTCCTTTCGGATGTAGCATGCCCCGGCATTTGGGCTGATGCACACAGAAACCGCGAGCCAAGGACGACCCGCGAGGGGAGCCGCCCAGCAACTACTGGGACGGGGGCAGAGGTTGTAGCTATGGTTGAAATGAGCACTAGATTTCTGGGGGTAGTTGATTCCCCATTCTTTCCAGAGATCCTTCTTTTCAGGAAAAGAACAAAAACCCGGGGAAACAGCCGGTTTTTGAAAAGAACGATGGTTGAAAAGAATGGGGAGTCAACCCCTAGAAATTGCCTCAAATCTCGGGGCTGGGTCACAACATGTCACGTTTTCCGCGGGCTCGCGATCGTGGATCAGGCAAGCCTTGGTTTGAATTGGTCTTTGTGGGGGGTAAATGGGCAAGCACCCCTCCACCAAACCTCACCAATCCAACCACCAAAGTGGAAGCTGAGCCTTCCGGCTGTCCCTGCTTTGAAGTGTTTGTCTCCCACAGGACTTCCTCACTGATGCGGAGAATGACCTCTCGCAGGCGTTTGGGTGGGAAATGGTGGGAATGTCGGTTTGTGCGTTTCACCGTGTGGCCCTTGGGGCTTGGTATGCCACCAGGTCCAGTACCACAATGTATAAATCAGCGCCAATTCAGCGCCATTCCGGGCAGGGATTTCAGCCACCTGCCTTTCACCAACCTGCTGCCTGTTTCAAGTTCACATTCTGTCAATACCTCATTCAAGTGTCAGCCCTTTCGCTTTCCCCGGGCCCCCTTGTCAGCGCGTTGGTTTGGTTGCGACTGCCCAAGTTGACTTGGTCCACCTGCTGTCGTACATGTTTGAATGCACTGTGAGTGGCAGACTGGAGGTGCTTGAAACCTGCGAGCTGCCTCACAGCCCCTCGGCTTTTTCCTGCTGGCATGGGCAGCCCAAGGGCCCCAAAGATAGGCGTCAAATTTGCACAGGCCACGGTGCTTGTGCCCATTACAATTCGAGAGGGCTCGTGTGATTGGCCAGCAAAGCCGAGGCCGGGGAATGCTCCTTGGAGGTGCCTTCTTCCCACTCTCCAGTCAAGCCAGCGCCCCATAGTTCTTAGCCCCCAGATGCAGATCATAGTGCTTCTTCAAACCAGTGCGCCAACTGTATGTGAAACTGAGCCCTTTGCAATAAAGTCATTGGGCAGAGCAGTCGGTGGGGACCTTCCTGGGGGACTTGGCCGAGGCTCTGAAAGCAGTGATCTCTCTGGAGACGTCGGGTGCAGGCAAGGGAACCACCGAAATCTTCATGCGGTACGGACACTTTTCTTTTTTTTGTCGTGTGTTGGTTGCTCCTGTGCCTGAGGTCATCCCCAGCCTTTTCGATTTTGCTGCCCGATTCCAGTGGTCCACGGTCCGATCTGCCCGCCAGCTGCCATCTACCTTCGGGGAGCCAGCGGCCGCAGTGTCTGGCAGTCCTGGAAGTGACCAGGGGCGTGCCGCGCGCGGGGATGTGCCCGGCGTGTGTCAAGACCAATGGGGGCCCCTTTCAATCAGCTTCCGCCTAATTGTTGGTTTGGTTTGGAGGCTTGGAGGCTTGGAACTGGTTTTTCATTTACCCCCTACATCAACCCCCCAAACCACAAATCCAAAGCACAAATTGCGAGGATTCTGATTCAACAATGTAATTCAAGAGAAGAGGTTCAACAGCGTGCTACGCAACCCTAGTCGGAATAGCAGGGTCCCAAGCTTGTTTCAACGCATACTCAATCAAGAAAGCAACACGCACACACACACACAGACACAGACAGCCCGCTTCGTTTTTCGGTCGTTGTTGGGAAAACCCTTCACTGTGCATTTTGTGCTCATGCTATGCCTCCATCATTTGATGCTCATGCAGTTTTGCTAGTACGTCAGGGCGTGGCAGACAGGTCCTAGAAACGCTCCCTGCAAAAGCTTCAGTCGAGGTTCGTCACAGGTCAGCCCCAGCTAAACCTCCGCGCGCTGGACTCGCGTCCTTGTGAGGTATCGCGTGGCGGCTTCCAATGGCTGGCGTGTTTGCGACTCGGATAGCCTTGCCAGCAGTAGGGAGGTTGTGTCTCGCCAAGCGGGCGGACCTTTCAAGAATCAAGTAGTTGACAGATTGTGTCAGCAAAAGCACTCTTGGCACTTGAAGTCCACGAGCTACGACTCCACACACGCTGCTCTTTCAGTGGAAGGGGTTTTCTCCGAACAACCCAACTTGGCTATTGTTTGACATGGTCGGATTGGGCCTTGGCTTTTGATCGGCGCGTGAGGTGTACGCTGTCAGTGCCACCGAGTGGGAGAAGCTGGAGGACACGGAGCAAAAGGCGCGGGCCTAGCCTATCGAGCACCCTGCCACAGCTTTTTTTTGAATGATGGATGGCAACCAGTGAGGTGTGAGGTCTCCACTCTTGTGGTGCTGTTGCGCTGCTTGGCCCTCGATCAGGTGCTCTTCATGCGAGAGCTTCTGCGGCAAGATCCGCTTGACGGGGACCCAGTCGGAAGCGGAGTGGATTGGGCAGCGGGGGGCTTTCCGTAAGTAGATGGGGCATTTGTCGTTAATTCAGGGAGTCTACGGTTCGGTTGGGTTCGATTCGGTTCACTGTTGTCTCTGTGAACCTACTCCGGTTCGGTTCAGTGAATTCATTCAGTGAATTGATAATTGATCTGCTATTTCGCCAGGATACGGATGCGCTGTGAGTGGCGGCGGGCAACAAGCCTCTGTCCCTTCAGCTCCGCAGTTGGGCACAAGGGCCCAGTGCTGCAATAGCCAGAGTGAACCGCCTGAAAGCGAACTATGAAACCGCAACAGCACCAGCGTGTACTGGTTTGGCGGAATCCTGTTTTGTAGAACTGTCTGTTGAGGGCTTCATATTCGTTCTTTGGTAGGCCAATGTGTAATGAGTCAGGGGCTTTCAAGCATTAGATGGACATCGGCTTTGCAGCACGAAAGCACTCACCTGTCCAGACGCCCACGATGCCAAGGCGGGTATAGCGTGAAATGATGCGCTTGTTTGGCTGCAAGTCCACGGGGCATCTAAGCGCAGGTCGGATCCTCACGTAGCCGAGGGGGTGTTCCTTTCATTTGCGCCTCAGCTGAGCATGTGGGTTCTACAAATACGCCGGTTTCTTCCATGCCACCATGTTCCCTTGATGCATGTTGAGCCTGTGACTCCAGAGCCCTTGATCCGCATGGTGACTCAAGCTTATGGCCAGAGGGCCGCAGATGCAGATGGCAAGGCTCCGCTTTGGCATGTTCCGCTACAGCTATGTGCTTGCGTTGCTAGTTTCTTCTCCGTGCTTGTTTTTGTGGAGGGAGGGATGCCACCGTCTTGGCTTAAGCCATCCCTCCAGCTTCATGCAACCAGTTTGACCAGGAGCCCTATCTGCATGGACGAAGGCGATCGCAAGAGCTTCAGTTGGAGCAGGCGCTTCGGGCCATGCCGCGTTCAATGGGTGAAGCACGTCTCAGGTGTGATGTGCTCTGCCTGGTTGCTGCACACTTTGTTCTTTCCATAGCGCATGCACTTACAAACTCAATCATTTGCTGACTTGGTATGGTCGGTCGTTCCGTAAGATTCAACAAGGATATAATCTGGGTTAGGGCGGCACAGAGCAGATGTCAACAGAACTTGTTGTTTCTGGCAACAACGTTGACGTGGATTTGGTCGAAGTCTCGAGTTGGAGGGGGATGATTCCTAGTGCCTGTCGCCTGCGGTAGTCACAGATTCGATCTCCTTGCGTCTGAGTGTCCTTCGTTTTTTGCTTATGGTTGTGCCAGCCAGGTCTGCCTTTGCCAACGCCGCCAACCGGGTGAGTGGCCTTTACCTCAGAACCTCGCGTGTTCATAGCCAACTTTTGACCCTTGAGCCTACATTGCATACTGCTCCAAAAAGACTAGATTTCGGAGGTCCCTCAGAAGAACCAAACGAATCGGTTTTGCGGGCTGTGGGTGTAAGGGCAGTGCTTGCCAGGAGTGATGGAATACTTTTCTTTCTATGGCGGCCCAGGCTTGGACACAAACACTGGACGAGGATAAGGCTTTTGGGTAGGGATGGTAGGGGAGATCCGGCTAGGCAGGTCTACGCAACTGGGATGTGAGCTTCTCAAAGTGTTGGAAGCCGTGCTGCTCATGTCCCGAAAGCTCGCCTCGATTCCTGCCCTGTCCGGGCTGAGCTGATTTGCCACGCCGTACGCATGCTTTGCCGTTTGTTTAGACTTGCCATTTCCATACGTTTGTTGGGGCTGGACTGGTTTCCCCACCTGATACCTACGAAGAGGCTTTGTGCAGCTTTCGATCCGCCCTCTCTCAGCCCGGAGGTCGGAAGGTCGGAAGGTCGGAAGGTCGGAAGGTCGGAAGGTCGAAAGCGGCGCATCTGGCCAGCAGTCGATCCTTGAACTCAGGCCAGGACCAAGACCCTCGCAGCTTGAGACGAGCCCGGGGGCTGAGAGGCGTGATGCCAGCCAGTGTTTTCCGGTTTTCAGATATTTGCGGCACGTGTGTGCCTGGTGCCATGTGCGAGTTGCTCCAGGAGTCGCGCTTTACGTCTCGGCGTGTACCGCTCCGCTCGGCCGAGTTGCGCGAACTAAGGGCGCCGATGCGGAGGTGATCTGCACGCTGGCGGTGCATTCCGAGCTGGGCGCTGGGCTGGAGGCCTGCGGTTCGGGCCTTGAAAGGCTTCAGGTCGACGTCTGCTGGGCCCTCGGCACCGGTGCTTTTGAGGTTTTTGTTCTTTCTGGGCGTTCCTCGGTTTGTTTTCCTTCCTCTCTCTCTTTGCGAGGGAGTTGCATGATGGCATGGCTGGGCTGGATGGGAAGTGACAATGATTGCAATTGGTGTTTGAGCCGCTTCTCCCAGAAGGTTAGCAGGGAAATAACTGCTTGATTGTGCGCGCAATTCAGTTGAGCCGTAAGCAAGGGAGCTTGACGGCACCCGCCCCGAGCCAGATTGAGTTCGTCGAGGGCCACGGCTACCGGATAGAGCATCCTGGCAGATAGCACGGTCGCAACAGCTCGAACGCTTTTGCTTTGGAGTGATTCACTGCCATGCGCACATCTTAGCACCGAGGAGGGCGGACCCCCCAGCACTAGCCGTGGAATTCGACTTCATTTGGGCTGATCCCCCCAAATGGCTCATCCCGCCCTGTGGGCGCTTCGAGCTCCGCTTAGGTCGATCCGGGACCAGCCCGGTCAGCCGGAGCTCCGCGTGGGGGACCTGCTGCTGGAGGTGAATGGCCAGTCCCTGCAGCTGGACTCAGAGGAGGGGCAGAGCTGCCCAAGGGCAGGGGCACATGGCTTCCGAATGTGGAAGTGTGTGTGTCGTTTTTTTGAACGAAACTATGGTATTCGCAGTGTGTTTTTCTAAGCTTTGCAGCGCTAAAACTACATCCCAGGGAGAACCCCTTCTGGAGACCTTTTTTTTTAAGGGTCCCCACCCGGCTTTTTGCTGCAAGCGGGACAGTCCGGGAGCCCTGTTTAATGACCCCGCTTGCTCCGGCTCTACCAACATGAAGGATTGTTTCGTAAGAGATGGTTGGGGGCGCATGAAGCTTTGGGAGATTTAGGAGCCACTTCCCTTTTGCACCCCTCTGGTCAGAGCGTGTCAATTATTTTTGGAAGCCCTGCAAGTAGTTGGCACCCTTGTAGTCAAAAGGAAGGCGTGCGGCAAGTGCAAACTCCCTGCACGCAAGCAAGGCAAGCTTTGGGAGGAGGAAGTGGCGGGCACATTGACATGTCAAAATACAGACTAAGAGGGCCAGCAGGAGGGAGAGAGCGAGCGAGCGAGAGAGAGAAAGAGAGAGAGAGAGAGAGAGCGAGCGAGCGAGCGAGAGAGAGAGAGGGAGAGGAAGAGACTGAACACATTTGTGAATCCACGCGCGCCCAACAAGCACCCAAACAAGCGCCACCAATTCTTGTGGGCCTTCCTTTGCGCCAGCTCAAAGTCACTTCCAGGAGGATGCTGATGAGATCCTTGCCAGTGAGCTCTCGGATGGAGTGCGCCTGGCTGTGCGCCGGAATCAGCCGGATCTTCCACCAGATGTGCCCGGCAGCTGGAAGGAGCCAGAGTTTTGAGGGCTCAGGCCGGATGCCTCGAATGCCCTTATCCCCTCATTTGAGTTTCCCCCCCAATTCCAGATAGGTAGTTCGGGGCAAGACGAACGCAGCGAGAATCAACAGAATCGACAGCTGGGTTTGGCAGTGGTATAGCTACCCTGGTGGCATGTCAAAAGTAACCTGGGCGGTGGGACTTCAGGAGGCAGACCGGAGTGACGCGGAGGCACGTGGCTGGCGATGGGTCCGAGGGACGTGTTGGGCTTGGGGCTGCGGCTTTATCTTTCGCTTGATTGAAGCTGCCGACGGTGGTGTCTTGCGCAGCTCTTTCAATACTTCCGTCACCCACTGGCTACTCCAGTTTGCTCAAGCTGCTGCTGAGCATGTTGCTATTTACTGTCGAGGCTGGCTTCTTTAAACGTGCCATTATCGACCGGTGCTTTTTGCCACAAGCTATCAAGCAGAACAACTGTCGGAAGGAAGCAGACCTGTGCGTGTTGATTTGCAAGTTATGCCTCCTCTATCATCCACGAAGAGTGCCCACTGCCCTGCGGGACGACCATGCCAGGTGAGCCCGAAGACCGCCCAGTTCGTAGTCGGGCCTGAACTTGCCCAGGAGGCGCTCCAGTCCGCGCGAGCTATTAATGAAGAGGCTTTGCAGAGGGTGTGTTCAACTTTGTTCCAACCTGGCTGCAGCTTCTACAAGACCTTTCAAATTCAATGTTCAACCGTGATATTTGCTTTTCGTGCAGTATTGAATGACGACTGGCACTCGGGTTCGCAGCCGGGAAGTCACCTGGCAACATCGAAAGCTGGCATGGGGAGGACCCTCCTTGAGTACCAGTTGTGTTCGATTCGAGGTGGGTGGGTCCCCGGGCCTGGGAACGAAGCTGCACAGGAACCGCGCAACATTGGCCAGGCCACGGTCATGGCATATCCCCAGTGTATTCCCTGTGTGCCCAGATTGGCTCAGTCGTAGCCTCGCGCTTGTGACTGCGACACTCGCTTCTTCGAATTGTCGCGGGGGGAACGCTTTCTGGCTGGGGTTGGGGGTGTGCACCTTGGCAATCACAGGATTTGCTCAAATGGCGGCTGACCTAGTGAAAACAAGATCATGAAGGTTGTTCTTCGAGACCCCCTTCTTTCCTGAAGTGGTTCTCCACAGACTTGCCGCTGGGTCAGAGCCAAAGACCATCCCGATTGGCCTCGACTTGGTTTTTTCGTTTTGACACGCAATGCGCTCGTGCTCATTCGTTCTCACCGAGCTTGTTGGTCCACTTTTCTAGGGGTTGATTCTCCATTCTTTGCAACCATCGTTCTTTCCAAACACCCGTCTTGCCTGGGTTTCTGGAGGTTTTCCAGAAGAGGGATCCCAGGAAAGAATGGAAGGGTACGCTTAGCGAGTCGAAGGGTCACCCACCCCCCGGCGGCCACGACGCGTCAGGCGCGCGAGAAGGTGGAGCTTCCAGCAGCCAAAGGGCCCTTGGCAGGAGAGAAGCCGTCGGCTTGGGTGCGTGGGTCGTTGGGTCAGTGGATCTTGTTTCAAGATATTCAAGTTTAAACAGCGGTAAACGAGGGAGTCCTTATAGCAATGTAATCAGGGGGGGGGTCCCAAATGTAACCAGTTACATTTTTGGGGTTGTTTTTGGTGGTTTGGAGGACCTTGAGCAACTGGGGCTAACTGGGAGTTCAACATTTGGCTCCAATCGAGGACTGGGTAAGTGTAGCAGATTATCGACAATTTAGCTCCTCGAGGCCATGTTCTGGCTCCATAAGGCAAGAGTGGAACTACGTGCTTTCTCTCCTCAAATTATGCTGGGTTTAGGGTTACGGTTAGAACTTGCTGTTGGCCGAACCATTCGACTTTCACATCCATGTTTCAAACACTCTCAATAATAGCTCCCGGTCATCTGGGTGAACGAGCTGAAAGTTTGCTCTCCAGAGTGGAGCTGCGAAATCCAGCTTCACCATCATCCAATCCTTCTCATATTTCTTTGGCTATTTATCATAGAGTCTTCAGTTGCTGGGCGAATGCAGCCGACAAAAACAAGAGTTTTGGCAAAGCCTTGCAACGACCGATGTTCTTGCTCGAGCAGTTGGAGATTCAAGAAGTTCGTGCTGCTAGTAACGAGACCCTGTACGACATCGAGCTTCGACCAGCGATGAGAACCTACAAGCGTATACTTAGCACGGAGCAGCGCAGAACAGGCAGGAACTGGTGGACACACTGATTTGGAAAGTGCCAAGGCCACATCGTTGAACACCTCAAAACGGACGAAGCACAAAGGCTGCTATGGAAGCCAACAATGGTGGCTGACAGTGACTGAGCTGTCCAGAACTGCCCAAATCTCCAGCTCCACAGGCCCCCAGATATATAAGGCGCAAACGGGAACACAAAAAAGCAGTGGCAGAAATATTGGATATCTGTACACGTAAGACGTTCTGTGAGCGCTCTCTAATTTTGCGAGCGTCCTCTGCTTGTTCGAGCCGAGGCTTGAGGAAAAACTGACGTTCTTCTTGTCTGAGATGGCAGTTCTGACTTGCTACGACTGAAATGTCTGCTTGGACAGACACAGCAGATGTCATTTACAAATTTACATGCATACACATGTCTGGGTTCAAACGGCGCGCCTTTTTTGTTGGAGGGGCGGTGCTTGGCTTTTCCCAGAGCCGAAGCAAGGATCCCTTTCAGATGAGCTGACTCGAGACGCCTTGACATGAAAGCTGTTGGGGACGTGTTGGGGCTACTGTCACCGACTGTCACTCGAAGACCGTTCTACTTTTGGCTTTCCCGCCGACGGGGCTGCTCGACAACGCCTGGAAAGCCGACGGCGCATGCCGACGACGGCACATGCCCACATATGCCCGACCCTATGACTGTGCAATGCCTAGAAGCGGGTAAAAAAAGGCCAGCTGCTCATCACTGTTTGAAAAGCTTTCTCCAGCTGATCTTCGGTGCGCGAAGGGCAGCAAGTACCGAGCGGTGTTGAAGAATGAGATCGGCAGGCATGAGTCCTAGCTCAAACACACTCAAGTGAAGGGAGCTGCCATCTCGTTCCAACAAAAACTTCTCACGGACCCCGTGTTTTGGACAAATATCACGTGACCGCCTGCGACTGACAAGTGGTGCCCTCCCTTGCCTCGAACTTGGAGATCAGCTTCAGCGTGTTCAATGTGGGGCCACCAACTCTCTCTCAAGGTGCACTCACAGAGCTTCTCACCATCTCCTTGAACTCCTGTGTTTGACGACGGCAGAAACCAGGCCCTTCCGTTTGCATTGAGGGTGTTTGGAACGGTTTGAGCTACCCCAGATGGAACGTCGCAGGGCGACCTACTTGGACCTGTTGCCTCGGATCGCCGCGAGTACACCCGACCCTCGTGTCGCAACCCCGCGCAACCTGCCCGCAAGGATTTGGGAGGCAGCTTCTTCATCCGATTAGGAGGGCCGCTGTGATGTAGCGGAAGCTTGTGCTAAGGCCCTTGTTGCGGCACGCAGGCTTGGCGGATGTCCACCACACCACCTTTCCGGGGATGCCTAGTGTGGCTAGCAAGTGACGCGCAGTTGGTTATGCCCGGTCAGGTATTTGAAGAAGCTGGAGAACACAGAAACGCACAGGAAGTCACAGGCTCTTCCCCATGCAGCGCAACCACTCAAATTCTTCTCAAAGAAGTAGCGGAAGGCAAAGTGAAGACTGCGTCGATGCCCCGTCACGAAGCCTAGACTCAGCGGCGCATCCTCTTCCTCCCTTTCTTGGTGAACCCAGATCTTCTTGAAGTCCAGGCACCAGTTCATCTCCTGCCATTTGCAAACCTGCGGTTATTTTGAGGATTACTCGGGAATACACCGGTTGCCAAGACAGGAACTTTCATGATACATATAGAGATAGCTGCGCATGAGTAGAGAAACAAGTCCAATGACCGACATGACTTTGGGACATGCACGAAGAAAAAGAAGTGCAGACTGGACTCCAAGATGGGTGCCAGGGTTCATCTCCATGCTGGCTTCGTGTCACCAAAACTAGCCCTGGCAACATACGAGAAGCTTTTGGACGGCCAAAGAGCAAATTCGCGGTAGATGAAGAAGTCCTCGCTGGCTGCCGCTTCAGACAAAAAAGCGGCCATTTGATGCGCTCGCCAGCCCCCCTCTGTTCGTAACAAAAAGCATCATTTGGTTTGGCCGGGAAAACGCGCCGGGGAAAAATGCCTCGAAGCCTCCCAGCGTGTGCCCGATCAGGCCAACCAGGCTGGGCTTTGTCAAAACTGTGCTTTTTTGGGGCTGAATCGCTTACGTCTAGTGGGATTAAGCACTTCAGGCTGAAGCTGAATCCGGCTGAATCGCTTACGCCCAGTGGGCTTAAGCAATTCAGGCCGTCTGGCAGCAATTCTACCCGTGCCCAGCCCATTTGGAATCGCTGCAGTCGAGCCTGAATCGCTTACGCCCACTAGGCTTAAGCAATTCAGGCGAAAGCAGCCGAAAACATATTGCCTTCGACAAGCCACACTCGGTCACACGTATAGCCGCAATTGGCTGTTCTTTTTTCGGGTCGCCGACAGAATCTTCCAAACGCTTCAAAACCCGTGTTTTCGCTGAATTGATTAAGCCTAGTGGGCGTAAGCGATTCAGGCTCGACTGCAGCGATTCCAATTGGGCTGGAGGCTGGTAGAATTGCTGCCAGACGGCCTGAGTTGCTTAAGCCCACTGGGCGTGAGCGATTCAGCTGGAGTTGGACGGCTTCCTTGACTGTCCTTATCCTTCCTTTCTGCCGGAGGTGCTGCCTGAAGTGCTTATTCCCGCTAGGCACAAGCGATTCAATCCAAACTTGGAATTGCTTTCCAAGAGCACGAAGTGAAGGCTTTCCTTTACAACGGCTCCCATGCGCTCCTGCGTGAAGGTTCCGCTTTAAAAATGGCTCCCAACGCAAGGCTTTCCAGAAATGGCTCCCAAAAAACGTGTTTTCCTAACTAGGAAAGAATTTGGGCAGGGCACGCAAGGGAATGATTGCGAAACATCCAAATGGCTGGCTCCCACAACTACTTCATCAATTTCAAGGGGTCCCTTCCTAAGACTAAGTTTCCCCCATATTTGTGACAACCGTGTTCAAAGGGTGCAGGGCAAAATGGCCCTTGAGGGTGATGCGAAGTGAAAAATGACCCTTTGCATCCCAACAGCTTTCTACAGCTTGCGCCCTTCAGTACTACAAAGTTGCGATTTTCAAGCTGGAGCTGCGGAAGTGTACTTTGCGTACTGTGCTGACTTGTACTACAAAGTTGCGGTTTTCGAGCCGGAGCTGCGGAAGTTTACTTGACGTGCTAGGTACTGAAATGTTGCGAAAATGATGCGGGTGTGATGTTAGCCAGTTTGCCCCGATTGGCGCGAAAGGCCGTTTTCATGGAAAACTGACTTTCGATTCTCACATATTGCCTGCAAAGTCACACATTGAGCACAATGGTAGCTTGGCCAGCGTGACGTGTGCCGTGACTGCATGACAGGAGTCCCATCCGGCCGGTTCCCAGGATTGTGGCCCTTTTCGCAAAAACCGGACTCCGGTTCCTTTCCTGCATTCCAGTGTCTTTTCTGGATCTCGGGTCCTACCCGCATTCCGGTTCCTATTCTGGGCTTCGGTCGGTTTTGGTCGGCTTCGGTTCCTTGTGTTTCTTCTCCGGAGCCCTGTGTCGGGTTCTGATTTCTTGGCTGGATTTCGGTTCCTTTGTTGGGCCCCGGCTCCTTTTGAATTGCGCTTTCTTTCCGGCATTTGTTGCGGATTCTGGTTCCCGCTGGTCCCCTTGCTGGATTTTGAGTTCTTTCATTGGTTCCGGCTCCTACCCCGGATTCCGGATTCCGGCTCCTGCCCCGGATTCAGGTGCCTGTGCTACGGTTTCCTGTTCACCCCGCCGGTTCTTACGCCGGATTCCGATTCCTACGCCCCGGATTCCGCCGTCCTACTCGGATTCCGGTTCCTACCCCTCATTCAGGTTCCTACCCCGCTTTCCAGTTCCTACCCCGAATTCCGGTTCCTTCCCCGGATTCCGGTTCCTTCCCCGGATTCCGGTCCCTGCCCGGATTCCGGTTCCTACCCAGGATTCCGGCTCCTACCCCGGATTCCGGCTCCTACCCCGGATTCCGGTTCCTACCCCGAACTCCGGTTTCTCCCCCAGACTCCGGTTCCTACCCCGGATTCCAGTTCCTACCGAGGATTCCGGTTCTTACCCCAGATTCCGGTTCTTACTCGGATTGCAGTTCTTACCTTATTCTGGTTCGTATCTCTTATTTGAGTTCAAAAGAATTGAATCATGAACTGAAAACGTGAACAGGCACATATGCTCAGCCACGGAGCAGCGGGGAGTGGCGATGCCTTTGCGAAGAGAGGGGGGTGGCAAAAATAAAATGGCGCGAAGAGGGCGGAGCAGGATCTGCAGGACAAGGTGAAAGCGACGACGAGGGTGCGTCGGTCAATCCACCCAAAAATTGGTCGCCCTAATTTAAGACTCATAAATTCGGGTCCTTGGCAAAGCCCAACCTTGCAAGGTTTGTTGGGAACCCGAGAAAAAATCTTGGAAAGGAGGCTTCGAACCGCTCAAAAATTCAGTTCCCTAGAGATGCTGAAGAATCAGGATTGCTTGCGATACAAGCGGACACAAGCAATGGAGTTTCCATTGCTTTCCGGCGTGGTATTGCCAAACCCCTCCCTGGGCCCCTTGCAAATGTAACTGCCAGGGTCCTCCCCCCCCCCTTACATAAGACACCCTCGGCGGTAAAGATCTTTAAGACTTGACTTCGCTCAATTTGGAGAGACGCCAATCACATTTTTTGGGAGCTGTTGGTCGAAGCTAATCAGGGTTGCCGCGAGCAAAGAAAAATTCGCCGATGGGTAGGGCTTCGTTTGGTGCCCCTTGGAACCGTTTTGCTAGTCACGTGTTTTTTTTCCCCCCCAACAGCTGACAGCTTTCGGGTCTCAGCCCAGATAGGCTCCGGGGTGGTCCGGGGCGGCCCTGAGGTAAGGTTCCACGAGGGTTCCACCAGGGTTCCACCAGGTTCCACGAGGGTTCCACGAGGGTTCCACTAGGGTTCCACGAGGGTTCCACGAGGTTCTGCGAGGTTCTGCGAGGGCTGCGGGGTGCCGCATGCTGTTGGGGATATCACCTGAGCTTATTTTTTTTGTTGCCTTGGGCATTTGGATTCTTTTGGAGAACCGCGGCCTTATGGCCTCGCCCGTCTCAGCCATAATGTTGACCCAGGATCAATAAACCCGTCCCACTATTAGGGGGTGTTCCCTCCAAAAGTGATGAATCCCCACTAAAAGGGGACACCCCCCAATCAAAATCAACCAGGGGTTTATTAATCCGGGGTCAACATTACGAATCGTCAAGGCTTTCCGTGCCAGGACTGCTAAGCAGTTTCGGAGCCCGGGCCAAGAGCCTTGGCAGGGGGCGCGGCTGGAAACCTTGGAGGCCTTCATTCGGGAGGGAAGCTATGTGGGTGTCCTTTTGGCGTCGTTTTGGAGGGAAGCTATAAGGAAGCTATAAGGAAACCGCACATTTTGGGGATTCCGCCATTTTGCGACAGATCGATTCTTGCTTCTTCGCTGAAATGGCCGCGTGGCATATTAAAGGCGCAGGTCAATCTGAGGGGTGAACCAATTGGACTTGCCTCCAAGGACCCCCGAGGAGTCAGCCTCTCCAGAAGAGGACACGGGATCAACCGTTTCTCTTTGCGGAAGGTGTTTGCACTTGGAGCTGCACCATGTCGAGTTTCAATTGTTCAGCCATTCTCTTGCCGATGCTGAGCAGAGAATGAGAAATGGAATGACCAATATAAACCATCCAACTGGTGGTTTCCTTTATTCGGGGATCTCTGAGTTCATTCCAACTCCTTCCCTACCTATGGCCACCTTGGGCCCAGATCCAAGCGGAGGAGTTGCCGCAGTGGCCGGAGTCGGACTGGCCTGAGGCACAGGCGGGATGGCACCGAGCCCGGCCGCGGGACCCGCGTGGACCCGCGTGGCGAGTGGGTCGAAGCGGCCAGGAGCCGAGAGAGTCCGATGAGGAGGTCATGCTGTTCCAGCAAACCGTGGCTTCAGATAGAGAGGCGCTGGGCGGTCTGGGCAGTGGCAGTCCATGTGGAGCTTGAAAATGAGAGAACATGAGAGGACTATATGATTTGTCGAGGTTTGTCAATGTTGCCTTTGCCACCCTGGATGTTTGGTGACAGCCAATGTTGAGTTATTATTATATGAATCGTCCTGCAAAGTTAACCACTCTTTGGCAACCTGGCAGGCCAGCGGGAGCGGAATTGAGCTGGGAGCCCAGTTGTTCAGGATATGTGTCAAAATAGGGGGACCCCAAAATTATTGGTTTCCTTTTGGTTTACCTTAAAGCCAACGACAAAAAGTGCAATTACCAGCCAAAAAGGCCTAGACTTTTGTAGCACGAGCGGCTGTGGGCCTGAGGTCGATTCCGATGCCCTTCGCTCAAAAAAACGGTGGCTGGCATTTCGAGCCGGAAGGAGACACTTGCGCTGGGGGGCATGCCCCAAAACATGCCCAAGAAGGAACAAGATGGAGATGCTGGAGAATAAAGCCATTTGACGTGAAGCATGACTCGGCGTAGCCCGTTCCACCCAGCACAGGCGGTGTGAATGTCTTGTTCATTTTGAGTGTGTTGGAGTGGAACTTTTCTCTTCTCTTTTTTTGGGGGGGGAGGGCTTAGCATTAGGGGACAAATTTGAACATGCCCTTGCTGTCTCGCAAAGGAATGGTCGCCCTGAAGTACAGCAGGGGGGGCACATTTTACTTCCAATTTTGATTTTTAACAGCGGGGGCATATCCCATTCTTCTAAGGGTTGAGCCCCCTTTCTCCCATTTCTGTCCTTCAGGAGAAGCCGAAAGCTCTGTGCAGGAGGCAGTGCCGGAGTCCGGATCTGAGGCTCAGGACGAACTCCGGCTGAAGTCTTGTTGGGTTGCCATCTTGGGAGCTGAGTTCCAACCTGACCCACACACGGTGTTTCGGCGTCCAGTGGGGGCTAAGCAGTTGCTGCCCACTGTCGCAGGGCCTTTGCTCTTTGAATGGGCTGCGCTCATCAAAGCAGTTTGTTTCCACATGCAGTGTGTGGGTCCCCAGGCCATTGCAAATACATGATTCTTTCAATTATTTGAGCCGAAAAGATTGAAAAAAACAATTATTTAGACCCCCCCCCCCTCCCCCCCCCGGTCTCAGGCTCGATTCCTCCTTGGTCCACCCCTCCCCCGCTCAGTGTTTCAGCAGTCTCGGTTTGCCCGTTTTGGACTTGGTGCTACGAACTTTTACATGTTCCACCGATTCAGCTTGTTCATTTGAGACCTCAGTCTTCTCAGTAAACCACCTCGCAAGAATATTTGCACACGCAGCATGCAGAACCCTTGTGCAGCAGCCTTTGCCACGAGGACACCGTGGCCATCCTGACTGCAAAGCCAGCGAGGTCTTCAGCCGCACGCTGCAAAGTGCGAGATCTCGCAGAATGGATGGAGGATGTAGGGCTTCTCTCCGACAGGTTTGTGACACAGATGCGCCCATTGTCCTGTTGTGATTGCCAATTGGCCTTCAAGCCTTGGGGCAGTGAATCCTTGCCAGATTGATGAAACAGTTGCGAAAGCCAGCACTTGATCCTTGTTCCAAAGGATGGCCGCGGTTGATTGGGGGGGACAACACCCCAACAGTCACGGAACTCATTTGAAGCCCATGCTCTGCAAATGCTGTTGTTGCTCGAAAGCTACAGCTTCTGGTTTGGCTTGAAACGGCCAGCCGCCAAGAATTTGGCTCGCAACCGGCGCAGGAGATGAGATTGGAGGAGTACTTGGAGGCAGCTTCCGACTGGTGCGCCGAAATGGGCGCCGTTTCTTTGGAGGAGATCGCTGAGAACATTGAGGACTGCGGCCGGAACTTGGCACGAAGCAATGGGGGCCAGATCACTTGGATGTGCAACCTGCCTACAGCATGTCGGTTACAGTGTCTGACATGGCTCTTTGTTCACCAGCCCGCTTTTTCCCATTCATAGCTGTGGTTATGACCTATCAATGCAAAGGAAAGTCCAGGACGGCGGGAGTCCAAAACAGCGTGCCTACCCACCATGGGGCTTGGCGTTTCGAGGACTTCGGGAAAGACATCTCTCTGAAGCCCATCGAACGGCAACGTGTACAGAAGTGGGTGCCTGGATTGGCATAGCTGGGGCCTGAAACTGGGATCATGGGGCGTGCTGAGAAGGCGCCAGAGCAAGGTTGACCCCTCAGGAATAAACCGGTTGTTGTTTTTTAATTGGGACGTATCTGACTTGTGTGGGTGAGACCCCCTATTAGGACGAGTTTCATGGGTCGGAATAAAAATCATGTGTGCAAGAAGCTGCTCTTAACTTGTTTTGCAGCCCAAACCATGTAAATCGATGCTGAGGAAAAACGAGCAACAAAGCGACACCCCCGGAAGCCAGGAAGACAGTTCTTGTGAGCTGCGCCCAGTGTTGTTGAGAAGCTGGACGAGGCAATTTGTTGCTAAGTCGAGGTTTCGAAGGGGAACTTGCAGGCCCCGGACCGATTCTCAAACCGATACTCAGTCGATACCAAACCGATACTCATGCCTGCAAAAACCCACCAGCTACCCTGTAGCACGCCCCATTTTTCGTTTGCTATCTTCTTCTTCCTGATGGCCGAAACTGCTTTTGAAAAGTCCGTGTTCCGCTGCCTGCTTTTCCTGTGCCCTTTACGTGGCCACGTCAACAACTTACAGTGTGCTTAACAACTTGTAGCCCCCCAAAACCTTGCAAACCAATGCTGAGGAAAACATAACATAGGGTATGAGAGTACAAAGGTTTCATACCAGGTTTCCCCATGGCATTCCAAAGCAAGCTTCTCGTACAGCATTTCCGGGAGCTGGACTGAGCGCATTTAGAATCAATGTTTTGACATGTGTTTGCTTCCTGTTGTTTTTGTTGCTTGGTTTTTGGATGTGTTTGGTTCTTGGAACTTTGACCATGTGATTTAGAGGAGGCACTTCAGAACACAAAGGGTTTGCACGTTCATTTTGGACACTGGATACTGATCTGGGATCACGCGCCCGTCGTTCACTCCAGGCCGCACAGAAGCTGCCTGGTGCCGTTTGCATGCTGAGAGACAATTTTAGCTTCGGCTCGTTTGGGAAGGACCAGGGCGGATGGGTCTGACAGAGAAAATCCCCTTTGGGCGGGTTTGGCGCATGAAACGCAAAGCAGCAATACCGTTTGTTGGACGCTCAGCCAGTCGGCCAGACACACAGTTCGCATCACACTTGCTGCTTGCGGTTGATATAGCTGAAAACTTGGAAGGTAAGTGTCGTTTCAACCACCGAATTACCACACTGACCTGGCTTGATTTGACTTCTTGAAGGCCCCTGAATATGACTGGAATTGGGGACGGTGGGGGAAATGACTGCTTTAGTGTTGGTTTGGAGTTGGCGATTCCCAGTTTAGCATTATCGGACCTTGACTTTTCTGGAAATCAGGGAAAAGGGTTATTGGAGGGACTTCATCATTTAGGAAGGGCGTATTGATCGCATGCGATGCTGACATGCTTGCAGCTTGCGGTTTGGGCGGAGACGAGCGCTGCCCGTCGTGAGCTGGGTGCCTGAGGGCCTGCAGGACCCACCTCTGCAAGAGCCACCCCGCATCGAGCTGCCAGACGAAGGTGCCCGGGGCTCGCAGGTTCCGCCGCATAAACCGGCGAGTTCAGCCACGCACAAAATCGGCCCGGGGCATTGGCCCATTGGCTGTGCTGATTTGCCTCAGGCTTGTTTGGACCTTGATGTCCGATTCGGTGCGAATCTAGCCAGTTTGGCGTCTGAAGCAATGCTGCCATCCTGTCAATTCCAAACGCTAGATGACAATGGGCCTTGCTTTGCGCCGATTTTTTGGTGTTGCTCATGACACAATCGGTTCCTGAGAAGGCGATTGACATTGAGCACGACAACCAACCAGCAAAACACATTTCCTAAGCCCTAATTACGCGTTGCCTTTTTTGCAGCGTGTACAGTCCCATGTCGCAAGCAATCCCGCGGCAGCTACAGAAACTTCACCGAGCGCTAGCCAACACGCAGGCTGGAACGAGGCGCCGCGGGCACCCATCTACACAGCCCGCAGCGTGCGGCTCGCGGTGGACTCTCAAGGCCGGTCACTGAATTGCTGGAGGGGTGATCCCCAGAAGTCCACTGCATCTCTTGGTTTTGATTCGGTGAACAGTCAGGTGCCTGTTTGTTGTTTAGATGGCCTAGGCGTTGCGCAGGGTATCTTGCGGGGTGGGGTGGAACAATCGGCATGCACTAAGCAGGCAACACTGGCTTGGATCTCCGCTTCGACGACGACTCTTGGCACGCAGCATGTTTTCTTTGAGGGGCGCTGCGCCCTGAAATTTGATGCGTAAGACTTCATCATGGCCTCGAGCCTCTTTTGATGCTGCCAGTCACTCCAGCTAAACATCCACGGCGAGTCCGCAGGGTTTTGGCACGCCCCTTATCCCCCCTTGCTTTGTTGTGGGTTGGCAACCCGAACTGCACATCATCCACCCCTTACACCCAATACCATTCTTTTGTTAGGGCATGATGTCGACCCTCTACTAAAAAGGAGGTATTTGCCTTGAAAAACCAGGTTTTCAACAAAAAGGAGAGCATAGACCCCAGATAGCAGTGCTTGCACACCAGCACCTCCAAAAGCACCCCCGCGAAGAACGCCCCAAGCAAAACCCGGCCGTCAATCGAGCAAGAATGTGCCCGCACCATCACCCTGAAGAACACCCCCCAAACAGAATCCCAAACCACCACCGAAGCTGCATACCGTCGAGATGCAAACATGCGCCTGCACCGTCACCTGCATGCCCGATGCGCCCCACAAAGCACCTCAAACAGCTCCCGACAAACTGTGTCCCACAGCACGATCAGCAGCAACCCAAACTGCATTCCCCCCTGCGTCCTACCGTCAAGATGCAAAAATGCGCGCACCAAAACACACCTGCACAAGCAGCCCAAACTGCATGCCCCCTAGCACCCTACCGTCAATCTTGAAAAGATGCGCCCGCACTGCAATCAGCACCTCAAACAGCACGCCACTCAGCACCCCAACCAGCATCTACACCAGCACCCCAAACCGCACGCCCCCTAGCACCCACCCATCAATCTCGCAAATCACTTTCCCCGTTAGAACCCCTATAGCTTTCAGCTATCTGGGGAACTAGAAAAAGTGGGTATTTGGAGGTTAAAGGGGCAATGTGGCCTCTTCATAGGTCTCCAGGTTCCATGTTCCCCAGAAGCCGCTCGAGCCGAGGAGTGGGGCATCCGAGTCGAGTCAGTGGACCCACTCCCTGGTCAGCCCGGCCTCGCCGAGGGTGACTTCATTGTGGCGATAGAAGGCAAAGGGTTGTTTTTTGTGTTCGAAAGGCTCTTGACACTTTTTGTGTCACACAGCTCCGGATTAGGCAAGAGGAAGCCAATCAATCGAATGAAGGTCCCCGGGAGCACCATTGCTGTGGGGCCAAGGCCCTTTTGTGGTCCTTTGCGGTTCTGTGTTTGGCTCCAGTTTTTGATGAGCCCCACCCTGTCCATCAAGCCTCCACGCAAAACGGGGCCATCGTGGTCCTTGTGCCACGTTTGGAGAAAACAAAATGGGTCTTATTTGAGCGAGGCCATGAGTTTGTTTAAGATCGGCCACGATTTTGTTTGCTAAAAGAGCGTAAGGCCAACCCCTGCAGGCCACTCATTGCGGCACAAGAGCCACGAGGAGTGCGACGCCATTTTCTCGGAGCGGCTGCAGAACGGCGTGCTGCTCAGCGTGGTGCGGCCGGCCTCGCAGTCGCAGCTGGCCCTTCCCAAACAGATCCTTGGCCCAAGATGAGGATGTCACGTGGGGAGGGGTTGTTTGTCCAGGTGGACATTTTTTACGGGTGGCTGCCTGGCTGATGCAGTGATGCGACCGATCATATAGCGGCCTCGGCCGTCATTAGGTATGTTTTTTTTTGAGGGTAGCTTTTGTGGGGTTGGTTCAAGGTTCAAATGGAAACCGCAAGGAAAAGCAATATTTTGGAGGGTCCCCTAAAGCAAGTAATGCTCAAATGACTGTACCTACCGTAGCCCTTTGCCAAGGCCGATGGGTTCGTGGCGCCTCCCCCGGCAGCCCGATTTTCGCAACCCATCCTGGAGCCGCCGCAGGGGCGGCCATGACGCAAACCGCATGTGGAACCGCTTCAACCGGGGCCCTCCCTGGTAGAGCCAACCAAAAAATCCGCAGCGCCTGGGCTCGGGGAACATCGCCTGGGACTGGCAGACAAGAGATATTCTCACATGCGGGGTCGAGCATGACCTGCCAAAGCTGATGGCAGCTGAAGATGAACCTGCTTGAAAGCCCAACATGGTTCTGAACGCATCAATGCGTGGCCTTTGTTGTTTTGCTTTGTATCCCTAGTGACGAACAGTATTTACCAAGAATATGGAGGTGTATGTAAAAACGTTATGTGCATGCATTCCGTGTGTGTGTGTGTGTTTGATTGTATGTGGTCTAAGAAACTGGACATCTAACCCCCCACATCAGACAAGCAAGGAAAGTAAGGCTTTCAGGAAGGAAGGCGAATGCCGATTGCAATCGCTGAACTGGCTGTAGACGTTTCGGATTCTGCTTTGTTCCCATCCCAGGATATCCCAGGTTCATGTCATTGCCTTAAAGTCAACGCTGCTTGTGCTTTTGCGCTGTCAGCTTTGGCTTCAGCACGTGATGCACTAAACGAACATCCGACGGTCTTAGTGCGCCAATAGCTTCATGGGGACATCATGAGGCAGAGCTACCCTCAGACGTTCAGTTTTGCCCTTTTTCCATATTTGCGCCGATTGGTTCCGCGCCTCAGATGAATCAAAGCGATCGTTATTGGGCAGCTAGGCAAAAGCCACGTTTTGATCACGCTTCTGCAATGAGTCATGCCCCAGCAGGTGCTGATCTTCCAGCAACTGTTGGGGCAAAGGGTTCTTCAAATTTGATGGGTTCCGACTTCCTTATGCACCTTGCGTCTTGCATGCTATTTGTGAGGAACTTTGATCAATGAATGATTAACTCTGGCCGTGCTTGCTCAAGCTGGCGGAACGAAATGAAAGACAAGGCGAAGATGGCAGATCCCATATCATCCCATCCCTTTGTTCTTCGTTGGCAAAGTGCTCATGTTTGTGGAAGGATGGCCAGGATGGCCATGAAACACAGTGAATTCCCGCAGAGCTTGCATGATTTTGTCAATGCAGGCATGGCATTTGATGGTCAAGAAGAAGCAACGCGCTCATTTAGTTGTGGACTCTGGGTTGCGCTTGTGCTACGCATGGTGGGTGGCCCAGCAGATGGCATCGTGCCAGTATTTGAGAGCATGCTTGGTGCATGGTCGTTACACTATTTGCAACTCAGTTCGCGGAGCGGGGATGCAGTGTCTCTAGCTGAGGCAACCATGACAATTACGCCGGCCGTGGGCTGACCCGATGCAAATTTCGGCACACGCACACGCACACACGCATGGCCATGGCATGTTCGCCCTCTGGCCCAGGCCAAGGATGAAGCTGAGCAGAGGCATGATACCTGTTTGGGGGATGTAGATGGGGCACCAGGAGGTTCAGAGCTTCAGAGCATGTTCAGAGCTTTAGAGCATGCATGGCGAGGGATTGTTGGGAGGGCGCTTGATGTCACACGCCTTGACGAGAAAGTGCATTTCCGAGTTTGTTTGTCCTACACAAGGCTTGGCGGGCAGCCTGCGCGTGAGCCGCAGGTGTGGTGGGCATGTGAAGAGGATGACCACGGAGCTGGTTCAAGACATTTGCAAGGAGCGTTCAATGTGGCCCGGGGCTGAATCAAGCCGTAAGATGCAATCAGCCCAACACCATTTTGACTCTAGTGGCTTAATTACTAAACTATTCTGGGATGGGACTGGTGTATGTTAGGCAGGTGCTGTGAGAAGAGAACAGTATAGCATAACGCGGCATGCATTGTTGCAGAGTCGGGCAAGCGGTTCATTTGAACTTGGGGACCTGCAGGTCGCAGCCGCATTTGAACACCCAGCTCTACTTGAACTACAAAGGCTGGCTCGTGTTGGACACGCGGCCTAGGGTGCTTGGAGGCCATGCCTGTGTGTGCCCAATTATATATTGGTGGGCTTTCGGCCCAAGCGGCTTTCCATTTGCGCAACCACATCAGCCATGTGTCAACGAACGCCTTACTGACGCGGGTTCTTTGCAGCTTTCAGAATTCCATGAAGAGGCAAGCAAACATGCATTGCGGAAGATGTTTCCGGCCTTGTGTTCAACCTAATTAGCTTGTTCAAAACCTGGGAATCTGAGAGTCAGCCTTGGTAACTCTGAAGTCGAATTGGCAATACTTGCAGATTATGCGGTTTGCGGATTGGAACAGGCGGTTTACGGATTACTGTTTCTGGTTGCGTTGTTTGTCCAGCAAAAGAGTTTGAGTCACGATTTGCAACGCGGATTGCCGATTAAGAAGGTTACCGACCAGAACAAGGATTAGGTGCATTGCGAATTGTGACTAGGCCTCAAGGATTTCGAACAGGCTACCACCGGATCTATTCTCATTAGCATTTGTTTGAGGGGATGCTCTCTCGCATGCACCGGAAAAAATTACACCAGCATAGACCAGCACCTCCAAAAGCACCCCCGCGAAGAACGCACCAAGCAAACCCCGGCAATCAATCGAGCAAAATGCGCCCGCACCATCACCCTGAAGAGCACCCGAAACAGCACCCCCCAAGACACCCAGCGGTCAATCTTGCGAAAATCAACCAGCACCCCAAACAGAATCCCAAACCACCACCAAAGCTGCATGCCCCCCTTGCACCCTACCGTCAAGATGCCAACATGCGCCTGCACCGTCACCTGCATGCCCGATAGCACCCGAGCGTCAATATCGCAAAAATGCGCCGCACCGTCGCCAGCACCTCAAACAGCTCCCCACAGACTGCGTCCCACAGCACCATCAGCACCAGGACCCCAAACTGCATGCCCCCCTGCATCCTACCGTTAAAAGATACGCGCGCACCGTCACCTCCCAAAACAGCACCTGAGCAACAAGCTAAACTCCTCATGCAAGGAGTACCTATTGAGGGGCTTCGCGCTTCGAATGTGTATATCAGCACGAGAAACGATATAGGAACCCCTTAAAACGATAATGGTGGTTTTGGTTTGCACTGCAGGCGGTGCATCTCTGGCTGCCTATTTTGGCGCAAGCCCTTGCGTTTTCAGTAGCTTCCTGTGTCGCCATGGCTTTGTTGACGCCACCTAGCATATGCAAAGTTGGCCGCCTCGTTGAGTGCGGAGAAAAGATGTACGACACCACCATGGACAAGAAGCACCAGGTGATCTTGTGCCGCTGCGCTTGCGAGTCCATCACGGCTCTTGGGGGCCTGAGGCGGTCGCACCATGTGGCTGTTTTGAGCCTTGTCATTTGAAGAAGTTGTGCAAAGAGGGCTTTCTTTTGGCATGTGTGAAGGGCCTTCAAGGTTTGGGGGCAAGGCAAGCCCAAGTGAGTGGCGTGGAGCTAGGTTGTATCAGGTTACTGTTGTGAATTGACTCGGGGCCGCATCTAAGCACTGGCACTTCGTGGGAGTTTACTTCGCGGTTGACCGACTACATGCGGGATCTCTCTGGGGACAAGAGGGATGCTGCGACGGCTGCTTTCAAGGAGCTGGAACGGCGCTAGGTTGGCGGTTCCGGTGGTGGTGCTGTGGTGGGTGGTCGTGGCAAGTGTGCCGGTATTTGCACTCGTTTTTGCTGCGGCTGCTGCCTGCGTGAGGGGAGGTATGCAGGCAAGGCTCCGCAGGCAGGCAGGTGTAGCGATGAAGGCGGGTAGGCAGGGTGAGGCATAGACACGAGACAGATCGAAGGACATGAGGAAGGTAGGTGCCAACCGATCAGGTAGGTAGTGCTTGCATTTCCGTCCCTGACAGGTCCTACCACGAACGCATCCAAGAGACGTTCATGGCCTCTTGGCAGAAGGGTGGCCTGGGTGTTCTGGCTGGGGGGGCTTCGTGTGCTTCTTGCGTTTGCCTTTATTTCTAGCTGCTGCCGCTGCTGCTGATGCTGGTGGTGGTGGTGGTGGTTGGGCATAGCTGAGATGGCGCCAACAGCCTGGCAGGAGGCAATGGCAGCTCCAGCCGGAGGGATCGCTGGAGCAAGCGCGCTAGCCCAGAGGTCTTTGCAGGAGCAGGCAGGCATTGTGCGGATGTCAGCCGGCAACACTAACAGCCAACTTAGTCTGCTTTTCCTGGCTGCGTGCCCACGGCAACGGCAGGAGCTTGAGACGGCTCGCGCAGAGGGCGTGGTCAGAGATCTCGAAGTAGCACAGAACCAGACTCGAGAGGACAGCTTGGCGCAAACAAATCCTTCACGAAGTGTTGTGCTGGCAAAGGACACCCTTGTTCTTTCAGGGAAGCACAGCGAGCACCAGGGTCAGACGGCCAAGGTCCATGCACCATGCTTTGTTTCTTTGGTCCAAGCGGTCAGACGGCCTGTCCATGCCCTTTGTTTCTTTGGTCCAATCCGCTTCCCCGGCCAGGAGGCTTCTTTGGTTCCCTCTGCTGGCGACCGACCTACCGCAATTCAAGAGGACGAACTGTTTTCCCCAAATTGTTTCGGCATAGTGCACCGGGAGGACACAAAGGCGCAAGCAGAGAAGCAGGACGAGGAGCAGGATGCGCCAGCCAAGGACGGGAGACTTTTGCACCATGCTTTGTTTCTTTGGTCCAATCCGCTTCCCCGGCCAGGAGGCTTCTTTGGTTCCCTCTGCTGGCGACCGACCTACCGCAACTCAAGAGGACGAACTGTTTTCCCCCAAGCATTGGGCTGAGTGAGTGCGCTGGCAGGACACACTGGCGCGAGCAGAGAAGCAGGGCGAGGAGCAGGATGAGCCGGCCGAGATTCAGGAGACATTCCCGCATGAGGGCATTGTTTGCCTCATGCCTTCGCCAGCTGCAGGACTCTGCCCATGTTTCTGCCGATGGTGATTCTGCAAGTGTCCAACCCGCTTCACCTCAGGAGTGCAGTTTGTATTATGGTATGGCATCTCTTGAGAGTTTCTCTGCCTTGCTAATGTGCATGCTTTCTTTGGCAGGAATCGCAAACTACGAGAAGTCCTACCAACCACGCCTTGCGTTTACAAGGGATCGCCTATCCACCGTCCAACGGTCTACCAGCTGAGGCCGGACCAGTTGAGCAAGACAATGAGGGCACGCCTGAGAGGCGCCACCGGCAGAGGGAGAAGGATACGCCAGAGAAGGAACAGCTCCCGGTGTACGCGAAGCGTTTGCGATCCAAAACCACTGTGGAGATTGTGGTTCCTGTGGCAGTGCAGCAGTCTTTGGCTGATGCTCTTGTGTGGGCTGAGTCCGCACAGGGGAACCCGAGCCGTACTGCATGGTCGAAGGACCAAGTCGACCGGTGTCGACTTTGCCACATCGGTCGGCATCGCGCACGGTGGATCACCCGCGTGAGTGGCCGGGGCAAGATCCGCACCGCAGGTGCGGTCTGCTGGTGTTGCTGGAAGGCGACAATGCTTTTGGGCTCCCAAGTTCCAACGCGGTCGTTGGCTGTTTTGAGCCGGGTCAAGCAAGCCCGGAGGGCTGTCACACTTAAGTCCTGGGCCGTGCGTCACAAATTGAACGCACGGGAGGACGATGTCTGCAAGTGCGCTGAGTGCACTAACTAGACATGCTGGGGTTGAATTGATTTTGCGCTTCAAGCGCAAACTAGGCTGACATGCTGGGCACAATCTCAGCTGACATGTCGGGGTTCCTTTGGTTTTGCGCGCTTCAAGCGCAAACTCAGCTGACATGTTGGGGTTCGAGTGCTCCAAGCACTCAGGGGCTGTGTGCGTCACCACACGAGCTGCTCGCAGCAAAAAGGTGCAGAGATCATGAGCACATATGTGCAAGGCAAGGGCTCAGCCGATTAGCCGACCAGTGCTGTCATCATGCAATTTGTTGTTAGCTGGGCTCACGGCGGTTGAAGTGTTAGGATCAGGACTCGAAAACGGATGCCCAGTTCGAACGATAACCAAAACGATAACGAAACCATAAGCGGTTTACTACGAATTTTGCGTTTGTGACCACTTGTCCACGTTGCTCATGTTTTGACTACTTGCCACAATGAATGCCGAGAAGGCCATGGGCCGCCTGCGGGGCCTCATGTTTGCAGATCCAACTTACAAGGCAGCACTTCAACGTGGTGCTTGTAAGGCAAAGCCAGGAAAACCGGCTCGGGGTGGTGACTTCACAAAAGAGCAACGCACGTGGGCGTGGAACTTTGTGCGGCGACACGTGTGGCCTTTGGAGACTTTCCTGCAGTCACATGTTTTATTCCACTTTCCTGCAGTCACATGTTTTATTCCAAAGCCACAGCTTTTGAACTTGAGTGTCCTGTAGCATGGCTTAGCGGATGTTGAGTTCACGTTTTGTGTTCCACTACAGAATGAGAGCACACGACAAAACATGCGCGCACGTGTGGCGGGGATAGAAATCGTCCAACAGCGTGTGGCGGGGGAATAGAAACTGTCCAAAAGCGTGTGGCGGGAGAATAGAAATCGCGCAAAGCGCGTGGCGGGGGAATAGAAACTGTCCAACAGCGTGTGGCAGGGGAATAGAAATCGTCCAAACGTGTGTGGCGGGGGAATAGAAATCAGCGTAGCGGACCAAGCGCAGCGGACCAAGCGTAACGGGTCGTGGCGCGAGCAGCTCAGCGCACCCACGGAGCGGCGAACAGGTGAGCAGATAACGATCCTTTTTTGTGGACAACACAGGGCCAACTCACGAGGATTCAACCCTTCAACGTTTACAATTGTGCCAAGAATGGAGCCAAGGTTACGGAAGCTGATCGGGCCTTGCTCGGCACAGATGACGGGCAGCCTTGCCTCAAGTACCTGTTGGTGGACGTGTCCCGATTACTGGGCGCCGACTTGCCAGATGCTGCAGCTGCTGCTACTACCTCAGCAACCAGCTCAGCAGCAAGGGCAACGGGAACTGGCCAGCTGGTGGTGTCGGCAGCCACAGGCCACGGAGAGAATCCTTCTGAACCTTCTGCAGGAGATGCGGGTGGGGCTTGCGAGGAAGAGCCTCCAGAGCGACGAAAAGCTCCTGGGCATACTGTTTCAGAGTGGGCGCCGCGCACCTTCCGAGCAAAGAGCCAGCAGCTTGCGGACAATGTCCTGGGCTCTTGCGCTACACAAGAAGATGCTGCGAAGCTGCTGTCAGCGGTGCTGCAGCGTGTCGAACGTGCTTACCCCGGCGTGATGTCGGAAGTGTTGCAAGAGACGGACAAGGACTGTCACTGCTCACCCTTAGTAGCCAACGTCAAAGAGATGCGGGAAGCGTGGAAGAGTGTTAACATGCCTGTGGCCAGGGCGTTGGATGGCGTGGTCTTTAAGTCTGGCTTCACCAACAAGAAGTTGATTTCCATGGGGTACCTCACAGCTGGGCAACTCAGGCAGAGACTCAAGATGTCTGTCAAGAAGTGGCACATGAAGAAGGTGCAAGGCAGACCTTCAAAAGTCAAGGACCCTAGATGGCAAGGGCTTGTGAAGGATGCATTGGACTTCTTCTCGACAGCATCCAGCTGGACTTGCGTCGGTCCCCAGAAAGAGCGGCGACAGGTGCGCAGCCTGTGTTGCAGGCCGACCACCATCCTCAGGACCAGGGGATTGCTGCTGTTCTGCTTGCATTCGTGAACATGCCAAAACCATCCCCGTTTGTTTCCGTAAGCGTTTCGGCGACCAGGAGCATGCCCGCCCTACGAGGCCGTTTGAATTTCCGCCAATTCCGCAAGATCCACAAGACCTACTTCCCTGAATACAAGCGTGCCCGGAAGAAAACCGACCTCTGTGACCATTGCGTTTCCTACACCAAGAAAATCTTGCCGAGAGCTAGAGATTTCATGCAGCGCGTCCAGAAAGACATGGAAGAGGTTTGCCCCAACTATTGGCATCCTGTACTCAGAAGGGCAAAGTTCAAGTCCTTGTTCACGAGCTTGGACACTTCGTCCTCCTTGACCTTGGTGCAAGATGTCCTTGGAACTTTGCATGAGCGCTGCTTTGCCAACCTTCGGGCAGCTTCACCGAGGCCAGAGAGCATCCGGCACGTAGAAGGCGCTTTGCTGACTGAAGCCAAGCTGCACTCTCAGATTGTTGCTGCGTATGAATGGCACCAAGCTGCTGCGCAAGTGGAGCAAAGCAACATGAGGAACTTGGTTGAGAATTTGGGGCCCAACCGAGCTTACTGCCATTTTGACTTCATGGAAAAACTTCCGATTCCGATCAGCGGCTCTGAAACGAGCGACCAGTTTCATGGAAGTCAAAGAAAGACACTCAGTGTCTTCACCATGTACGCAGTGCAACGAAATGCGGCAGGCCAGAAAACCGTCCTGGCAGTGGTCCTTGTCAGTGAGATTATTGAGCTCAGCGCACTATTTGGGAGCTTGTGCGTTCTGGAGTGCTTGAAACACATTGAGAATGTGGGATCCTTGGAGGAACTGATCCTTGGGTTTGACGCGGGGACGCACTTCCGATCTTACGAGAATTTGTATTACTTTTTGCACAAGCTGGCAGCGGAGAAGAAGCAGAAATGCCGGGTGAATTTCCTCGTCGAGAAGCACGGGAAATCTATGTGTGACAGCGAGGTTTTCTCGCCGATTCGGCGCTGGCTGGATGAGTTCCTCCTCAACGCAGAAGCCTTTTGCGACACGGAGGATGCCGTTGTGAAAGTGCTGCTACAGTACGCCAAAAGGGAAATGAAGCAAAACCCTGGTGGCACAAAGTTTGACATCCACATCTTCGCTCCGCCAAAGCCGCGAAAAACCTGGGCCCTGAACTTTGACGAAGACTTGATCACGCGGTCCTACTCCTGGGAGGCAGTGCCAAGCGGAAATGCCCGGTTTCCAGTGCGGATCTCAAACTGCTTGTTCAGCTCCTTGACTGAAATTCGCGCTTTCTTCTATAAGGTTTCTGCGATCTTAAGCTGTTGTGCAACCATTCCAGGCAACAGCAGCCTCCGGCATCGAGTGTGCTACCAGGTTGTCGAAAGAAAGATTGACGCTGAGCACCTCGAATGGAAGCGTGGCTTCTGGCAGGATCCGACTTGGCGCAAGCCAGCGTTGCCACTGGGACAATGCAATGAAATCTTGCGAAAGCATCGCAGTCAGATGGCCATGTTTCGTGGCAACCTCCCGGCCAAGAAGGACTTGGCATTTGATGAGCTTGTGGCCCGCGACGAAAACCGTCTCGCGAAGGCAAACGCTCGCAGCAAGCGCAAGCGCGCGGCAGCCATCGCCAATGATGCTATGGAGTCTGCTGACGAACTGTGATGCGGGAACAAGAAAGATCAGCCCAATGTGCCAGAACACTGAGAAACGATATAGGGAACCCCTAAAAACGATGATAATCACACGAAGCCGCCGGATGTCAATTAGAGTTTTGCCGATCGCTCACCTGCACAAACACCCCAAACTGCATGCTAGCACCCTACCGTCAATCTTGAAAAGATGCACCCGCACTGCCATCAGCACCTCAATCAGCACCCCAATCAGCACCTACACCAGCGCCCCAAACCCTAGCAGCAGCCCATCAATCTCGCAAATCACGTTCCCCTCTTTATTAGAAGTTAGAACCCCTATAGCTTTCAGCTATCTGGGGAAAAAACAACCCCGGCGCTAGGCTTTGAGACCATCGAGTGTCTGGAGGCATACAGCAATTTGCGGGCGTGGCTCCCGGCCGGGGAGCTCCCATTGTCCTTTGTTTCGCTGTCACACGAGGCGTGCAGGCGCAACATGACATGTTGCTTCGGACTCCCCACCGTTGCTGCTGCGCTTCCGTTTATCGTTCCTGCTGTGTTGAATCTTCGAGGCGTTGTACCTCGGCAACAACAACATTGCCAGAATAGATGGCTGAGCGCTCAGGATGTGCGGCCGGCTGCTTTCCTCCCTTGAAAACGGGAGAATGAGACTTCCACTGTCATGCGACTTTATCATGCCTTGCGAGGGGCATTTTGGATTCAACCTGACACTTGCTGCATCTTGCTGCTCCTGAGATGTCCGGGCGTTCGGGTGCCTTCTGTGGACAGTTGTGGGTGAAGCTCTCGATTGAAGACGATTGCACTCCTCTGCAGGGCCGGGGTCATCGGAGCGATGGAAAGGCTCGGCTTTGGGTCGCCAGCTGCGCCCAGGCCTTGACCGCATGTCCGACCTGCGCAGCTTGCACTTGGAAGGAAATCGGATCAGGCACGACAGGGGACCGCTGACGGCGCATGTTTCTCAAAGGTGGAATCTTGATGGACTGGCAAAAAACATGTGGAATGCCGTGGCCTCTCGGGCTGATTTGTTGCGACTGGCGATGGTCGGATTCGGTCTCCCTGGGACCCCGTATGGCCGCCTTTTTTTTGTTTTTTAGGTCATACGCCTTTGACCGAAAAAAATGGCAACAACATGTCAAAAAAAGTATGGGTTTCATACAGGTGATTTACGCAAATGACCGGGGAAAAAAAACATGGCCATACAGGCAAATACGGCCAAATACGGGAGTTTGACCGGGAAAAAAACAGCACAGCCATATGGGGTGCCAGGAAGTATTCGGGCTTCCAAGTGTTAAATTGAATGTTTTGAGACTGACCCGTGCCAGCATTTAAGAAGGGCACACTGTTTGGGACACCCTCCCCCCCCCAAAAAAAAGCGTTCAAGTGGTCGCAGGTGCATCGAGAATCTCACCGGCAATTTGGAGCTCCGGCAGCTGAGCCTCGAGTCCAACGCCATCAGGCGCCCTATTTGCGCACGGGTGCGCGCAACAAACCCACCCCAAAAAAACTTGCTGGTGCTCGAGCATCCCCACCTCCTCGAAAACGGAATGTGGGGCGTGAGGTCGGTTTTTGGACTTTTCTATTCATTTCTATTCCATTTTTTTCCGGCTTGGGGGGGTCCGGCGCAATCCCGCTTTGGGGAGGTCCCAGTGGAAATTGGAAAAACCACCTGTGGGAGGTGCTCTTTCCAATTTCATGTCGGGGGGTACCCCCCTTTATTTTTCGATTGCTCTTGCAGACCTGGAGAGGGGTGCCGATTGTAGCATGTTCTACACCCAAAAAAACAAAAAACTCCCCCCATCCTTTCCATTTAAAAAGGTGTGGGGGTAGAACCACCTCCCCCTCCTTGAATTTCATTTTATGGGTGTGGAAGGGGTGGGCAGTAGCCCCATGAAATTTGGTTGAGAGGAAGAGGCAATCCCTCACAACCTCCCCCCCCCAGCCCCTTCCAATTCACCTCCCCCTTAGCCAGGGACAAAATGGAGCGGGGGGCAGTAGGTCAAAGAATGACATATTGGGATATTTGGGGGGGTGGGGACCCCCTTCCGCGAGGCGGTGGTGGTTGCTCAGCGGAATGGGGGAATGACCTTTTTAGAGCATCCCTTGCTTCCTCCAGGGAATGCCCAGGTTCATTCCCTGCCTATTCCAGAAGGAAGAAAGGCCGAAGAAAGGCACTCTGAAAAAGTCCATGAGCCTCCCAGTTCGCAGGAGCCTCAGCGGCCTGCCACAAGCTCAGACAAGACAGGCTGGTTGGAGGCTGGATGACTCAGATAGCGGCTCTTGGCCTTGCGAGGGGCCATTGGGCTTTGGGCTTTAGCGTGAAAGGCCGCCTTTCCGGAGCAGTGTGGGGTTCAGCGCAGGTCAGGCGAACCATCAAGTAGGCCGAAGCAAAATGCGGCCACTCCCGCAACAAGGTCTCATTTGACGAAGCTCCAGCACCTCAACGTGGCAAAGCGAGACGCCCAGCCAGTCAGTCAGCTAGCTCGTCCTACAGCCAGACCCTTTCAAGCGGCTCTTTTGGCAAGTAGTACATGCCGCGTTATACACCCGCCCATTTCGACACCTTTGGCCTTTGACACACAGAGGCGCCGCACGGCCCTTGCGTCACCAGCTTCTGATTCAAGCCTGGCTCACGCATGTTCAGGCCTCATTGACGTTTTCACTCACCGGCGTACACAGCAGCCAAAGCTGGTGGCAAAAACCATCTAAACCTGAATATCATTACAAAGTTTCCTGTTTTGCAGGTTGCCTGACTGCACTACAGAGAGAGAGGGGGGTCTGTCAATCGCAGCTTTGAGGAACGCGCTGTCTGAGTTGAGCGACCTCAAAGAGCTCGAGTCGCTCCCCAGCTCTGAGCTCAGGGTGCTGGCATGTGGCAATCTGTTGGAACATGTGTGAGCGCTCCTGGCTAGACATTTTCTCAATATAGCTTTGGTATAGCCTTACGGACGAGAAGTTTTTAGCCTCTGAGCTCCGCCTAGGCCTGGAGAATTTGGATGTGTCGTCCTGGCCTCGGGGCGGGGGGGGGGGCGGGGGCGGGATGAGAAGTCCGCGCGGGGTGTGCATGGCCACATGCAGAGAGCAAGCAGAGAAAGTTTAGATTTCCCATGCAGAGAGCCTCGCTGTTGTGGTCGACTTGGCATGGTGGCGGTGGATCCCTTGTGAATATCGCACTGATCTGTTTCTCACACTGAGCAGAATCAGGCACCACAAAGCTTTGAAGATCTTTGAAGTTGAGTCACCGCCTCCCAGGCACAACTGCATCGAAGCCTCGGAGGGTGTGGTTGACTTTTGGGTGAAGCTGCCGGGTGCTTAGCATCCCGGACGCATGGGCAAACGGCCCAGGGCCTGGCAGGCCAAGAGCCAGGAAGTGCATACTCTGAATGTATGAATGTGGTAAACATTCGGTTCCCAGCAAACTTCCCCAATCATTTGGCTGTGGGTCAAAGCCAATGGTACCGTTTTGGGGTAGGTGCACCACCCATTTTAGAACCTATTTTAGTGGGGATTGGGATGTTCACTGGGGGTACGGGATTTTGACCCATGGCCATTTGCAGTTCTCGGGCCCTTGTGTGCTGGCACGCGGCTGTCTAACGCATGAATTCCTTGCCCCACGTGTGCGCAGTTTTGCTTTGTAATTATGTAGTTTCCATTTGCTTTCCTGACCTTTACTCACACTTGTTTCGTTATCTTTCTGTCATCCTTGGGTTGCTATGTTGCGCACGGGTTGTTTGTCTTGATTGTTTAGTAAAACTTGCCAAGTGTAGCTGAACCAAGGCCAGCAGAGTTGAAGATTCTGCGCTACCACGGCAACCCAGGCGCCAGCCGAGAAACATTGCGTGCCGTGGGCTTTGGTTTTTGCTTTTGTTCATTGCCGGAGATTCGAGTGTTGGTTACTTGCCTCAGTTTACACCAGGGCCAAATGGCTCGTAATTAACTACCACTACCATGGTTGCAGTTTGCTGAGATACGTTCTTCGCAAAAGGTGAGTTGAAGTCCTACTTCCCTGATTTCCCTGCTAGCCTGCATAGCTCTAAACGCGTAAATACTCCGACTAAGGAAACGTCAAAAGAATCCGGGTGCATGTAGTGACACAAGACTCGATCAATTGAACTTCTCCTCACTTTTTGCTCCGTACAGTCAGCACAGCGGTCCACTTGAACTCAGGAGTAAAGTCCTGAGCGACCTGTCAATTTTCTTAGAAGCATGAAAGGATGGCTCAGCCCTCAACATTTCAATAGCACGAAGGCCCAATGGGGACACGGTGGGTCTGTGGGTCTGGGACGGGGCGGGCATGGAATCACGCTGGTGAATCTGCATCCGCACCTTTGTCCCGGATTCGGGCCAGGTGTCCGCTTTATTGAGCACTATCGAAAGCGACTGGCAGCCAGCTCAGTCATTTGGCCTCAAGAAATCTATTCAGACGAAGCAATCACTGTCTGAAAGCCTTTTAGCCTGAAATCTGTCAGGCTGGTGGTTTGCGGCTGGAGCTCGTGAGAATGATTGTAAATGATAAATGTAGTTAAACCAACGACGTGTGCTGCAAATCGTCAACAAATGCACCAACTGGACGCTTCTTGTGCCGCCGTGGCGTGGTTGGGAGCGAAGCTCGTGCGGTTGTGAAGTCATACATGTTGTATCAGTTTGCACCACGTTGATGGGTTTCTTCGTGACAAGCGCCATGCTTGAGCCAGCATGTTTTTTTTTTTTGGGGGGGGTTTATTTTTATACGAGATGCTCTATTGTTATTTGTTGGCGGGTGGGGGATTTTTTTGTTTCAGCTGGCGGGTCTTTGTTTTTGCTGCATGCGCCCTTTGGCAATGCAGCCTTGCTTGGGAATGTGCCAAGAGCCGTCCAATACAAACAATGCGTGGTGTGAAATGAGAATTTGTCTTGTCCTCAAAGCCGAGCTATTCAAATCGAGTTTTGGCACTGGCTGGGGCTTTGCCGCTCATAGCTAGGTCTACCTCTGGATTTGGGCATGGGAGATGTCCAGATCTTCAAACCCCCGGCAGTTCTCATTGTCAACTTTTAGGGCCACAGCAACATACGGATACAACGGCGTTTGGGGTTCACTGATATACCCTGCAACCGCTGGGTCTGCGCAAACAGTTGCCAGAAAAACCGCCCGAAAAAAATTGTGTTGGGCCCCCCGGAGGGCAGATGGCTTCCAACCCTGCGGGTTGGACTTTCACGTCTCGAGAAAACTGCCCGCTTTGGTTTCGATGGAGCCCTGCCTTCCAAGTTCTAGACGGTTAGAGCTTCCTGTTAAGATACATGGGGGAGTGGAAGGCTTCAGTGATATACAACATGATTCTTGGACAAGGTCTGTGTTTGGGCTTTGCTGTTTTTGAGTTTGAAGTCCCGAGGGTAAGCGTCGCCGTACGCTGACCAACAATTTGAAATGCAACTTCTGTTGGCAGATCCTTAACCACTGACCACGAAATCATGTTTTTGCACTGAGCCCCGAAAATGACTGTACCGGCAGTTTGGTACACCCCAGTGCCCAACTACGCAGGGCAAAACGAATGGGTTGCTTGAGGTAAATACTGTAGCGTCTAGACTCCGCAAGGTCAATGCGCTGCCTGCGTGCGGCGCCCGAGCGGAAAGAGCAGTGACGTCAAATGTTCACGCAGGTTATGAGCTGACCAAGGGGTGTTTCAACGTTGACGTTGCACGCGCAGATCCCTCTTTCGCATTTTCACGAACTGCATGATCTGTGCAATGCTTCTAGGGCGGGGAGAGTATGCGGCTTTGCAGAACCTGCCTTCCTCTTATTCAAATGGGTGCGTGTTTTTTGATGGTATATACCCTTTGCAAGTTGGCTTAAGGGGAACCAGCAACACACACCAATTTGTTGGGTGCCCGATTTCGACCTTCGACCACATGGAGCGGGTATTTCCAGGCATGCCAAGCTGAGGCTGCGGTACCTCGACGAGCGCCCCATTTTCCCCGTGGACGGGGTGCTGACTTTCATTTAAGCACTCAGGTGGGAATTCAGCAATGGGCTTTCCTCCTTTTCCCTATGGTTCCATTTCCTTGTATGGCAACCACCCTCAAAACGCCAAGAGGAAAATGGCTGGTTGCCCTACTATAGTGGTAACTGGGATCTACTTTGAGGATCCAAAATGCCAGCATGGCGGACACAGATCGAATGGGTTGTGAGAGTGCCCTGTGCCCTGGGTTGCGGAATGTCAGGGTAACCAGAGCCCACCAAGAACAGGGTTCTGTGTTCAGAGGCAAATTGAGTCATGGTTCATGGTGGTTGCTCAAGGCTAGTGGGTATATCCAAAACACCAGAATGGAATGTTCATGTTGCGTAATGTCTCTTTTCGGAAGCTCGCAACAAGTTCTTGTTCCGGGTTGCTTCAGGAAGAAACAGGTACCAAGTTGAAGCCCCATGATGCGCTGATGCAATGCATTTCCGTGGCTCGCAGTTTCATCTTTGGAGGAGCGGAAGGCCAGCGCAGCTTGGCAAGAGGGCGGATTGGAGGCGAGCCAGCAGTGCCCAGCCCTTGATGCTTCACCTGACGTTCGCACATGGCAAGCCAAGGGCAACGCCGTTTTCTTGAAAAGAGACACCGTTCTTGAATAGTTTGCTTTCATCCACTCCGGATGGCCTACCCGCTATTCATGGGTTGGTTTTGATTCTTGCACTCTGGCAGGGTTGAACTGAACCAACGCCGACTGATTCACAGGGCATTTGGAGCTGCAGACCGTTTTCGGCATTGGCAGGCCCTTCAGAAAGCAAAGCGGGACCACTTTCAGGACTGGCATTGTATGTCTTCACAGAGAGTTGCTGGGACCAGGTCTTCACAGAGAGTTGCTGGCACCGGGTTTTGAGGCTTTTTTAGGGTTCTCAACGCTTTAGGCACCTGAAAGCAGATGCCTTTGAGGTAAGCAAGTTGCCGAAAAGGTTGACACGGTGGATTCCATGACCCCCTTTTGCACCCAATCAACAAGAATATGGTAGAATTTCGGTAGAACACGCGGTCGATGCCTGACATGATAAAGTTCTTTCTTATCCAATTTGAGAGGGAGAGAGAGAGAGAGAGAGAAAAAAAAAAAAAAAAACAAAACAAAAAACAGAAAAGGAGAAAGATAGAGAGAGAGAGAGAGGGAGAAAGCATTGCCAACTGCCAACAACGGCAACTCCTTTGCTCTTTGTCATCTGACCGACTCCGTCGGCGTCGGGGGAGGAGGTCCCCGACAGGAGCAGTGCCGCCTGCAGAACTCCGTGGACCCCGAGCGGCGGGAGTTCCTCACGCAGCAGCGGAAGCTGGCCATCGCGGCTTGGAATCCTCCGGTTGGCAGGGGGCCGCACTCGGAGCTGGGATTATCCGAATGGCCATGGGGCACAACCTATGGCGATCCCATTTTGGGGTGGATGAACACCCATTTGCCACACCAGGGGTGCAGGGTTTTGACCCACAGCCAAATGGGTTTGTGAAGAGGGAGCCTTTCGGAGCTGCAGGTGAAAGGACATGGTAGGAAGTGCTGAAGTGCTTGCGGCGGGGCAGCGTTTGTTGCGCAGGAAGCTCCTTTTCCTTGATTGTTGGGCTTCCCTTTGAACCCAGCCAGCCATGTTCTGCTGGCAACTGGTCTGAAAGCATCATGGCTTGATCTGGCGAGAAAGTCCGATCGAGTGAAGTTCCTTGGCCCGAGGTGCATGGCGTACTTCCGACCGCAGAATGTTTCAACCCCTTTGACAACAAGGGACAAGTGCCATCCTTTTTCAAAGCAGCTGTGGCGAGTTTCCTGGTGCCGCCTCCATTGTCAAGTAAAACTCTGCCCTTTTGCCATTGCAGCCACCCTCACCGTCGCGCCACCGTGCTGGCATTCGTCGCATTGCCGTTTCGTCCAGTTCTCGCCCAGTTTAGATTGCACAAAGCATGGGGGCAAGCACAGGGGCTTTCCTTTCTGGCTTAAAGGTTCGGCCTGCTGGCCTTGCCAGCGCTATAGCAACGCATTTGTCACGCGGAATGGTTCTTTCGCAGCAGCCTTTCTTTGTTTGGATGCTTTTTGTGCAAAATGCCTCCCCAGACTCTCACTTGATGGGCATGGTGAAGCCCCCTAGAGTGGGTCAAAGTGCCAGGGTCTTTGTCGGCTCCTTGGTCCAAAGAGAGGGGGGTTGAGATACAAGGGTTGAAACAGACAGTTACCCTCAGGGGATCATATCATGACTGCCCCAATGCCTGTTGCGGGCAGTGCGCGGCATGCGCATTCGAGTTTGGGAGTCCGAGGCTCGCATCGAGCGCGAGGAGAGAGAGCGCCTAGAGGGTGCGGAGGAGGAGAGGGGCTTCGGGCTGAACCGAGCCTATGGAAGCGGACATGGGGCATGCCCTGGTCGTCCGGCAGTTGGAAGCCCCTTTTGCCAGCGTCGGGAAAAAACTCCTGATTTCAGGTTTTGGATGTAGGGCTTGCGTTGGGGGTTGTGCGACTTCATGCACCCTCCAGCCCAGGCAGCTGCAGGAGGTGTGAAGCAAGGATATCATTATGGTAATTACACATCCCTGGGAGAAGTGCCGCCTGAAGTATTGGAAATTATTGGAATGCCTTCTTGCATGGCGCTTGCGCAAATGGCACTTCCGGGAAGGGCCAAGAAGCTTCCCTTTAGGGAACCCTACCAAAGAATGCCAGAAAACATCCCGAAACACCTCCGGACTTGAGATTCATTTCTTCTCTTTCGTGGGTTGGAGGTATTCGCAAGCGCTTCACTCTGAGGAGAAAGGCTGGACTGCTGCGCAAAAGGGCGATGAAGAAGCCGGGCGCACGGTAATGTGGAAACCTACTAGCAGCCATAAGCCGAGAACTAGGCATTTCTGCTATATGATGCAAGGGTATTCCCAATATCTCTGCACGAATGTACCCGCTCACAAATTGAAGTACGAGTGATTGAATGGATCATGCAGGGGGCGCTGTGCATCTTCCCTGTGTTCCGTAACTACAAGGTACTTGACGGAATCCGGAATAAACGGAATCCGGAATATTCACGTGTTTTGGCTCAACATGTCAGGAGCCCGGCTTCGGGGCGAAAAGCCGTAAATATGACATGTTGCACCGTGTTGCACCAAAATTCAGCCATCCCCTTAGCGGAAGAGCGTTTTTCTCTGCCAGCATCAATTCATTTTCAACCGCGGCATAGTTGCATCATGGCGGTGGGTGATCAGCTTGTCTTGGGGGCAAGGGGTTGCTCAAGAACCTTGGGAGGACTCATGGGCTCTCTAGCACATCAACCCAGGTCTAGGCTGCGGTCGCTGAAGAAAAATATCACGCGATATGTTCGATCGGAACAAGTTGCGTCCAAAGCCGTGCTGGCGCACTTGTGGCGGTTGGATCGGACAAAATTGTGTCAACATTGTACTATTTTTTAGAACGTACATGAGTTTGATTGTGATTGCTGTGTCCATGCGACAGAAATTTCTACATATCACGGGATAAAGTTGCGTTAAATTGCGTTAAATTATATATTTGTTAAACAAAAAAAAACGTGAATGTCAGCTTCCGGGCGGTAAATCGCGGTAAATTGCGGCATCAGTTCTGGGAAACGTATTTCATGCTCAACTGCTGTTTCGATGGCACCAGGATGATTCTGATGCGCTGGATGTTGCATCGGTGCTGCACTTTTGACAAGAACAAGCACTTTCCCCGCGACAGCTGTTCTTGCCGGACTTTCGAAGACATTTGCAAGATTCGGCAACAGTCCCTCAGTTTGAAACAATGCAGAAGGTGGTTTGTCGCTACTCAGGCTAAGATCTTTGTGCATCTTTGAGCATCCCGAGACTTTGACCCGCAAAACCCCGCTTTAGAGGCGAATGTATGACATGTTATCTCAGGCAGTGCTTTTGTGTGCCGTGCAACGATGAAAGTGTCGCGTGGTCTGCGCTGGGTTTGTGTTCCCAAATGGCTGCAAATTGAGAATCCGTACGGGCCCAGGAGGGTCAGAAACATGGCTTTTTCACGAAAATACCTCAATATAGAGTACTTGGGCCCTTAGGGCTTCCGAGTGTAGACCTTTTTGTAAACCAATGTGAAGCACACGCTCTTTGGGTGAAGGATGGGGTGTTTAATGGAGAAGTGATGACGTGAGCGTCCTCATTTTGCTGGCGGCCAAGGGGTAACACGAGTTTCACCATTGGTTTCCCAGCACAGTTTCCTTGCAGGGCAAATCACTCCGACAGGAAGGGGGGTTCACATGTCAAGACCAGGAATTTCAAGGCCAATTGTGCGTTTTCCCTGAGTTTTTGAGGGTTCCAATTTTTTGAGGAGGCCGGAACGGTCGAGAAGTCTGGTTCTGAGTGTTTCGCGGCGAGATGCAACATGCGCGTGGTTGTCTGAACCGCAAAGTTTCAGAACAGTGCTGAGTGGATGCGCTTAAGCAGGTGTGCTTCTCATGTGGCAGGCGTGGACACAATGCTGAGCAGATGCGCTTGAGCGGGTGTGCTTACCCAAAGCCGACCTTTCAACCTTTTGGTTTCCCTGATTTGGTCCATATTTAGTCAAGGTTCCAACAGCTTAACCTTTTACTTTGGGCAAGTGAGATTATCATGTTTGCACAATTATTGTATGTATATAGCTTTAGGTGAGTTTAATCCTATGTATGTATGAGTGTACAAATCTAAATAGAGTGTCGCGATCGACTGGCTATCTATGAGCAGCGTTTTGTAGCAACCAACAGACGCTGGTGTGTGTGTGTGTGTGCGCGCGTGTGTGTGTGTCAAACTAGGGAGCCCAAATATCGCAGTTTTCTCTTTGGCTTCTTGACACCTGGGTGAAGCAGGTGCCTTCACAAAGCAGCACCCGCACGCGCAGCCTTTTCGAACGGGAAAATACAAATGTAGGAAAGACTGCCGACAAAGACTCTTGGAGCACTGAAAGCCACGCTGGCCAAAGGAGAGGCGCAAAGGCACTGAGAGTCGCCAACTCCAAAAGAAACCCGTCACTCGGCAGGGCCAAGTGATCCAACAAAGAGTCTAGGTAAGGAGGGCAAACCGAGATCAGAGAAAGAACCGCATGCGTGCGAAGGAGGTGAGTACGACCCGAGAGACGCAAAAGCAAAACAAGACGAGCAAAAAGAACCATGGGGCTCATGTTTACAGCGTATGAACACATGGCGCCGCCAATGTCCGAGCGCGTATTGCTCCGCTATTACCCCCCCGCCCCACACCACCCCACACCACCCCACACCACCCCACACCACCCTACACCACCCCACACCACCCCACACCACCCCACACCACCCCACACCACCCCACACCACCCCACACCACCCCACACCACCCCACACCACCCCCCCACCCCACCCCACCCCACACGACCCCGCACCACCCCACCACACCCCACCCACCCCACCCCACTTCACCTGCACATTTTATGACAACTATGAAGTTGAGTTGCCCGTGCGGGGACAGCTGAAAACACTGTCCTTAAAAGACAACGGCGAGCGACGGCGAGCGCCCGGCCCGTTACAGGCGCCACCAACAAATGCTTCCCCTAGGTGCGTCTCTGCTTTCCGTGCCGCGGCGTGGCTCAGGCCCTGGCTGCCTATGCCCGGACCTGGCGGGAGAAGCTGGAGTGCTGCGGCGCGGAGAAGCTCAGAGACGAGGCCATGTCGCGTTTTTTTTCTCCCTTCGCTGGTGTGTTATTGAAATGTTGCTCGCCCCTTTGGCGGCAGAAACTTATGTGCCTGTGAAATTGTGGGCGGGGCTGCTTGCAGAAAGTTGCAGCCTTTGCACGGTGTTTCCATCAGCTCCACATCTAATCACTGAGTTGTCACGAACGCGCACAGTTGCAAGCTAGGTGTTGGCCAAGCCCACCATTGAAGGTTACATATCATACGGCATGCGTGAGTACCAGGTAATGTTCAGCAGCCCTATAGATTGTGCCAACAAGACCGACCTTTGATGCCAGGGGGTTATGTGCAAGTCGGGTCCCAGAGTCAATGTGCATCCAAACGAACGCGAGAGACACTTGCGCGTATCAGATTTACATCTCACATGGCAATGTCACCGGTCGCCTGGCTTCTTAACATCAAGTTGCAAAGCGGATTAGCCTTTCGCCAGCAACCTCCTCAACAGCGCAAGTAAGCAATTCGAGGCTCGATTTCGCAATCGACGATTCCAAGCAACGCCCCTGCAAGCAAGAGAAGTCAAGGGGTGGAAACGGTTTGCTGATGCCTGTAGAGTCTCATCTCTGGTTTGCATCAAAGTCAACGGCACGGAAATCAGTTGCGTTCAATAAGATTCACATCACCTTTACGGCGTCTTTTTGTGTCAACACCCTTCTATCAATGCAGTCTCCCCAACCCCCTCCAAGGTCTGAGCAAAAAGACATTCATTTAGTGCCAGGTAGTTGCGTTCGAGATTTAGTATGGGCAATATAATATCTTAGTACCCACTCCCCTGGTAACGAAGGTCCCCTCAATGTTAAGACTTGTTCTCCGAAAATTCCAACTTCCCCCAAAGCTTGATTTGAGTATGCCACTCGCGCCAACACTAGAGCGATTTTTCCCTCTGACCCAAGATCCAGCCCCATTAGGGGAGCCATGGGGAGCCTTGGGAAGCAGTACTGGGCCGCCAACACAAAACCAATACTCAACGCCGAAGAGGACCGAGACTGACGGACCGAAAAGGACCGACATCGGGACTCGGGCCTACCAAACATTGACTTGCTTCCCCGCACCCGGGGTTGTTAATAGTGGGGGGCCCCTTTAATATTAGGCCAGGGGCACCGGATTAAGAACTTAAAGCAGGGTAGGTCGAAGTTACCTCATTGTGCACATCGCCTTTGCGCGACAGGAACCACCCTGTCAGCAAAGCTAAGCGTGTTCCCGCTTGGGTGAGTAAGAATTACGCATCACTTCCGAGATCTTCAAGTAAGTTTCTTTTTGGGCCGATATTTAGTTTACAGACGCGTGAGCCCTGAGCGTTGGCTCTGCAATTTGCCCGCTCTGTCAGGTCGCCACCTCAGTCGGGAACCCCAGGTTACTGCCCGGGCTAATGATGCCGAGCGGCATGTTGCATGCCCCTCTTTGTGCCCTGTTCTTCTCGGTTACAGTTTTTTCCCCAGCAAAAAACCCAAAAAGAGACCAGATACCCTTTTCCCATGGCTACCGGGGCAGCTAAGTGAGAGACAACAGTTTGTTTGTGTCCTCCCAACCCTGCTCACTCCTGCTTATTCAAGTGGACCGAATAAACGCGTTGTGAAAAATGCCACATGCGCCAGAGCTCAGCCAGAGCTCGAGAGAATGTGGGAACCCAACCACTGGATCCGTCGCGCGCCGTTTCTTCGGCCGCCTTTTTCGCTTTCAGGGGAGCGGCCAGAGCAAAGCAGCGGCCTTGGCCTTGGCACGGGGCCTTGGAGAAGTAGAAGTTGCTGGCGGGAAGCCACGAGTTTTGCAGACAGGGTTCCACTTCTTCACTGCCCCAAGGTAGACTTAACAGGGAACTCTTTGGGCGGAAATCGACCATTTCTGGGTTTGAGTCTACTTTGCGGCAGTCAAAAAGTGGAACCCTGTTTGCAGATGGCGGCACCCCCCGAGATTTGTGAATTGGTGGCCAACATGGCTGACACACAAGGGGACCTCAGGTACTGGACCATTTTTGGAGGGTGCTGGGCGGTTGTTTTGTTTGTTTCTCTCCACGTTTGTTTGCAATGTGCAAGTTGGTGTCCTATTCCGCCTGAGTGCCTCTGCCAGGCCGAGGCTCAGCGAAAGGCGCAGGAAGAGAAGTGCCGGCTGAACGCGGCCTGGTCCCGAGCTATCCCAGGGCCTGGTACGCGCCAAATGGTCGTTTTTTTTTTTTCCTGGAGGCGTACCACAGGGAACCTAGAATGTTTCAATTAGGGGCCCCCTGTTGTCGGAAACACTCAAATCAGTTGAGGATACCTGGCCTTTCGACATGTTGCATTTTCAGGACAGCCTGCTGGTTTGCAGTTTGAAGACAGTATGTCCGGTTTGCCATGCTTGTCCTTGACAGGGGGCCGAATGTCGACGGAATGATGGCTTGCCGAGGTCCGGCAAAACCCAGCACCCACAAGCAACAAGGCCGCCACCGAACGCTCACGCAACCGATGACGCCTCCATTGTGTTGAGATGAAATAGCTGGTTACAACATGTCCCTGCAGTGACGTTTTTTCCACCAAGTATCGAGGCTTTTGTGGTGCCGCCTAAGTGGGTGTCGGAGGCAATGGCACGGTGGCCTTTGGAGGCCATCGCTGGGAGCCATAGACCTATTTCTGAAATGGGGGGAAGCCCTGGAAGAAGCGAGATGCTTCAATTGGGCGATCACATCTGTGATGAATCTTTGACCGCAATCCAAACCACCGAAATGTGCAACCGCAGGCAACCTTCTCGCCTCCACCGCCCGGCAGCCAAACTTTGCCGGCTATTGGCAATGGGCATGCGCTCCGCGTTTTCGTGTTTATAATCGTTTGCTGGATGCTCCGAAGAGGATTGAGTCCTTGAACGTTCCGTTTTGTTGACACTTGGGGGTGACACAAGCTAGCTGCCGCTCTGTGTAGAGCTTGACGCTGTCAGTTCAGCAAGTGCTAAGGTTCTGTTGTCTTGCCCACTGCCATATTCAACAGTTAGCAGCACCCGGATGTCACCCACTCTTTGCGGCACTTTGCACCTTATTGCATCCCCCATCGTGATGACACCTGGCTCACAAGCCGTGGCGCCATGATGATATGGGACACATCATGGTACGTGTGGGCAGCGCATATGGCTGCGCGCGAACCAGCTCCCGAATTTACTTTGAAATGCAAGCACATTTTGCAGCAGGCATAGGGCTCAGAGTCCATCCAGTGTTCAGCCTCGCGGAAGACAGAGAAGGTACCCCTTGCCCTGAAGCCCGCATGGTTGTTTCATTTGGTGACTTGCTTTTGTGTTAGAGCGCTGACCTGCTGCCTGACGTGTTTTGGACTGTTCCTTCGTCACCTCCAGGGCACCATACTCCACAGACCAAAACAGAACCCCCACAGTCCCACCAGTGCCCCAACAGGAACTTCCCTTACAAACAGGTTGCTTCCGGCGGCGACTCGCATGCATCAGGCGGGACTCAGGGTGCGCCCCTTCTGCTGCCAACGCCAGCAACGCGCGGGGCGTCGGCATGCGTCAGCTCGTACAAAATGAGTTTGTAGGGCCAGGACCTAGCAATACTGCAGTTGCGTTTGTGTGGTTCCTTGCAAAAGCTGACCTCCTTCAAGTAGAATGATCATGAATACATGTGATGCACGGCTTTTCCGAGGGGCGCTTGGTAGAAGCTTGTTGCCTGATGTTTGCAATGGTGCGCAAGTTAGCTGTTAGGTTGCTGTTGTTAGTGGAAGCTGAACAAGGGCACTTTGTGCCACTTTGCGCCCCACCCCACCAAACAGCAGCGCAATTCCTCGCAAAAAGCAGCAATGTGGCCCTCTCACAGCACAGCCTTCCGCATTTTACTCTCAGGGGGCAATGGCCACACTCGCCCCCCCTCCAATTTCCTGCCCAGTCCTTGTGTTGAAGCTAGGCCTTGTGAGTTTGATATTGAAGCAGGTGATTGGGCATCATGAAGCAGGTGAAGGGTTGTGTAGATGAGCTCCCTTACTGAAAAAATCCTTATGTCCAGCTTAGCAACTATTGGCCAGATGTGGAATACACAGTTGATGGGCATTAGGTGAAGGCCCATCTTGGTACTACATGGAGCACAACTGGGCAGCTACTGTGGCCACCAAGCAATCCAGCCCAAGGTCCAGGTCTGCTCTTTGGCTTGAGTCCAGAATTCTTGTCAAGACTCGCAAGCAAGACGCGTGAACATATTATGGCATTTCCAGCTTTGCAAGGGTTCCGTTGGAATCCGTCCGAACAGAAGCGTTGAACTGTCAAAGAAGCCGAGGACAGGTGGTAACGCAGTTTCTAAGATCCACCATGTGCTTGACAAAACACACAAGTTGCGCTCTAGTTCAAGCTTAGGTCAGGATGGTCAGATTCTTTTTTCTGGCCATTGAACCCATCCCCGGTGGGATGCGAGCTGGCCTGCTTTCTGCCAGGTCGCTGGCTTCCGGCAAAGCAGGGGCCCCCAAGTGGCGGAGATTGGCAGGTGGCCCTGAGTTCCAATTTCTGTGCCCGGCAGGCAGAAAGGTTGCACAAGTTGCTAGGTTGACGAATGCCTGCATGGCATACGTCAAGAACGTGTCATCTTCACCGCCTGAATGTGTGACCCATGTGTCACGTGCCCAGCACGCCGGACGCGGGCTTGCCATTGTGCAACAGCATTCAAATGGCACAAGGATGTGCCTGCAGTATGCTTTTGAAGACCGTGGCCTATGCCATGTCTAAGCAGCAACATCATTTGACGTCTAGAGACCTCAGTTGGAGCCAAGGCCGCAGCGAGGACTGGGCAGAGCGTCAGCTATCCTTGTCTGCGGCTTGGAGGGCCGCACTCAGCGGGACAGCCGCAAGCCAGTGGACGGAGACCCTTAGTCCATGATGCCAGCCACTACTACTACTACTACTACCACCACCACCACCACGACTACTACTACTGCTGCAACTACTACTACTACTACTACTACTACTACTACTACTACAACTACTACTACTGCAACTACTACTACTGCTACTACCACTAAGACTCCTACTACTATGCTACTCGAACTCTTTTTGGATGTCGGGCTTATTGGACTTGTTACTTATGTTTGGCTCCGTCTCGTGCTCACTACTCGTAGGGAAGCAAAACAAGTTGCAGGTTCGCAAAACATGCAATGACAAGGGTGGCTTCGCTTTAGCGGGCCCGCCTTGTGAGGCTGCAAGTTTCATGCCAGCATTGGCTCAGGGTGCTACGCAACACACATCAGCCCAGAAGGTCACTTGACATTGGTTTGCCTACCAGGCTTGTAATTAAGGCACCCCTTTGCCGGCGTTTCGAACTTTGGAAGTTTCTTAGTTTAAAGGGTTGCGCAATGAAGGCCGAAATTGCTGTGAAGTGTTTTTGGTTTCTCCGCTTGGGAGCACCCCCGACTCGCGGGGAGAGCTGGGCCCAGGCTGGGCGAGGACGAGCCGGAGGCTGCGCGCCCCGAGCCACGAGAGCCAGTGGAACCGGTGCGCCCACCCAGCTCACGAGCCCACCTCCCCTTGCTAAATTCTAAAGCCCAAAACTCTGACAGACTTCACATTGCATCCTAGCATGCTGAACCGCGTTTCAAGATTGCACAGATTTGCGCAGAAGCTGTTTAGAAGCTTTGGAGTCAGTCAATGGCTCAATGCTTGTAATTTTTCGAGTGTTGGATGAGCAAAGGTATGGAAAGAGTCTTCAATCAGGAAGTAGCCCGTAAGATAGGGTGCATCAAGCAATTCAGTGCAAGACACAACCTGAAATCCGATTTTGTGCGAGAGCCCTCTGCTGAAGCACTGCTCGCTGCGAGTTCCAGCGAGCTGTTCGATGCATGAGCAAGATCTCCGACTCAGAAAGCCCAACAGTACATGCACACAAAGATGAATGTTAGCAAAGAGAAGGTGGAGTTTGATTGGGTAAAAACGAATACAACAGAAACACAGACCTTATCAATGACCACATGTGCGCACTTTTTGGGTGGACGAGATGGTTTTCAGCAGATTTGGTCGAGCAACTACGATGCTTGAGCATGAAGATTGGCTAGTTGTCCAACGCATGGTTGGTGCTTTGTTGCCGGTTTCCTTCCAGTTGCACTCCATGGTTCGAGTGTATCCTCCTAGCTTCCTTCGAATACATCCCATACGCAGCCTCGAACATGTGTGAAACGAGACATGGGATCTCAGCACAGGGCTCATACAAGCAAGTGGGTATGTGTTAAAGTATTCTCAAAATAGGGGGATCCTTTTAGTTTCCCCTTTGACGAACCGCAAAAAGGGCACCCTCAAAACTCAGAAACGTAAGGGACAACTAACTGGTTGATGTGTCTAACTGCACGGGGTGCTTTCTTTCTCATCCAGGCATGGGATGGGTTGGACTGGGTGCTTCTGACATCTTCTAACCTTAGATGAGGGTGATCCCTAAATGAGCCGTCCTAGATCCTAGAAGCCAAGCAGGTTAGGCACTTCAGTACTAACTCTGAGGGCTGGCGACGGCTGGTTCAGCGCAGACCCCGGAGTGACATATCGCCCACAAGTCCTCTAAGGTTCCGGATCTTTGGAAGAAGGTGGAGCAGCAGAATAAGGCTCGTTGCAAGCTGCGCCAATGTCATGATGTCATGTGGGCAAATCACGGCCCGCAGGCTGGTTCTCTGCTTTGTAGTCTGGAAACTATAGTAGTTTTGCCCAGATGTCATTGCATTGCGTGACCCACCGTGCGAAGAGAGGCCACTTTGCAAAGAGTTTGCAGTGCAGCTTTCCAAGCTGCAGCAAGTTTGATTTTTGGCGAGAAGTCTTGATTGCCACTGACTGTATATGTATGACGAAACCTCGCAATCGAGTTTTTGGGCAGGGGGTATGCAGCATCTTTCGACAACTTCTACAACTTCGCCAGCCTTAAGCCTTATCAAGTCCATGTGAAGGCAACCTCCCTGCCCTCCCCGCACCCATTGGAAGTCTGAGGGCTTAACACGCGACTGAAGCGACTGAACATCTTGCTTGTTCTCCCGGGATCAAGAGCCTCGCTCGGGTTTTGGGAAAGTGATCGGAGGGGGCCCAGGGGGCCAACAGCCGGAAACATCCCTACCTTATCGTATTAGCATAGCTTGATCTAAGGAAAGCGGGGCATTCCCTCTCTGTGGAGACGGGGGGGCTGTGGGATTGGACGTCAGGAAGCGGAGGGCCAGGTGCTGGAGCTGAACGCGGCGGCCAGCGCCGGGCCCTGAAGATGCACGAAGCGAAAGGCCCAGCCATGGGTTTGAGGTGGGGTTGAGAGTGGTTTTGTTGGGTCTTCGGGTGTTGGACATGGATTATTTGTTCCAGGAGTCACTTTCCGTGAGTTTCTAATGCAACTCTAGGAGGCTTAAGCAAATGGAAGAAGTTCATTCCCCTTTTCTGCAGATGTCAGCCAAGCTCCATAGGAGCCTTTGGGTAAGCTGGCTCTGAGGCTGCCTGGAGGGCTGCATCGGGCCACGGTCTGAGGGGTCGGGTCTGGGGTGTAGCCACTCCAAGGCTTTCGGAACTCGGGCGCAACGTTCCCTACCTGGCAAAAAAAACAAACATAGATATTGGTCAACCAACCTTTGGCAGTTCCTTCATCAACAAAATGTTGTGACCTACTGAGCAGGTTGAGTGTGGAAGCAGTGAGGTGCTGTGTTCGGGAACATTCATTTGCAGTAAAAGGCGCTTTTATGTATCCATTGCACACTGAACAACATCTACTTTGTTGGATTGATGGCAGTCGTCAAACCAGAAAGCAAGATGGACATACCTCCTGTGATGCCATATCTTTGGGCAAGATGATTCAGGTTCCATTGTCAAGTGGCAGTTTGACATTTACCAGAAATGGCCTCTGGGGTTTTCACCCTAGACCTCTTGGACACTTGCCTTGGGGGTCATGTACTTGCCTCTTGTTGACGTAGCATCGCTTGCGCAGCCAAACGCTCAATTTCTTGACATGAGGCGTGAAAGGGGAGCTCGGAGACCTGGACTGAGTCTCATGGTCCGGGCGCGGGGCCTTCGTCGGGCCGCGTGCCGAAAACAATCCTGAGATGTTGCGCAAAGCGAGGAGCTCTGATTGGAGCAACGCGAATTCTGGTTGGTCGGGCACCACGTGCGAGGGCATGCATGCCGTTTCACCACGCTTCAGGGTTCTGCCCCTGAGAATTCGAACGCTCGCATGTACAGAAAAAGAAGGGGACCGAGTACTTGGAGAGCGTTTCAGGCATGTACCTTCTTCCCAAATGCACACAATGGCTTTGGCTAGATCACTGGGGATGAGTTTGTACGGCACTGGAGCCTCAAAAAGGAACGCTCGGTTTGCCGGCTGAGCAGCCGATCCAGCGCTCCACATTGAATTGCTTTGCTGCTGCCGTGGTTCAGTGGTTATCGGACGCCATGCACCAACAAAGCTTGGACAAAACTGCCTAAATGTGAGAGACGGTTGCACACCCTGGCTCGGTGAGAAGGCTACGTTTGCCCGTGTGTTGCCTTTTGTTTTATCAATGCCTGAAATGACAATCGTCTTGCCCGTGACACATTGCCCGTGACACATTGGAGTGCAGTTGCCACGTGATGCAGTGGCTAGATGCATATCGGCCATGGCGTGGTTTGGCGAAGACGCAGAAGCATGCCACTTTGGCTGAAGCCGGTGCTTGAAGCAGACAGCTTTTATTGAGGCTTCTACTTGTCTGCAGAAGCTAACAGGTTTGGTGGCCCGCTGCCTCCGAAGCGGAGGCTGCCCAAATCGAGGCAAAATCAGAAGCTCCACTACCTCAGAGGTAAAAACGTGTGGGTCCGGGTCCGACACGTGAGAGAGGGAACGGGATTTCGCTTTGGACTGCGGGGGAGTATCCTCCCACCAAACCTGGTGGTGTACAGGGCCCGTTCGCAGCTTTCTCTCAATTTCATGTTACTCCCCCCCGAGATAAAGCCGTTCCTTTTGACAGTTCAGAGCAATCTTTGGATTCCCCAGAAAGGCTTGCCTTTTCCAGGTTTTGCCTTTTAGTTTCGCCTTTCGGTTTTCGATCCTTGTTCTTTTCAACCAGCAAAAACCGGGTTGAAGTCTGATAGACCAACGGATGTTAAGCAAGAAGCGCCTGCGTTTGGGCTTGAAAGTGCTCCTTTCCCATTTCCAACCCGCAGAAAAAAGTTTCCCAAAAGTTGCCCTGGTCGCAGTTTGGCCCAGGAGCTCCTGGGAACCAAACGGCATCTGAGGCACGGCCTGCGGGGATCGCGCAGAGCTGCGATGCTCGCGCTGCAAGGCGCCCTACTGCTCAGCGCCTTGGCAACCTTTGAGTGGGTGGCTTCACATTATTTACCTGCCAAAAGGAGAACCTTCCTGGAGATAGGTTTCCGCTGGATTTTTTCCTGCCAAAAGGAGAACCTACCCGGAGCTGGTTTCCGATGTTTATTTTTCTTTTCCGAGGCCCTGTCCGATGATTTTGTTTTGCCACGCCCTGTCCTGTGGCCAGCACTTAATTGAGGGCTTGCTTGGCTGTGCGTGGCTAGTTGCTTTGCCTGAAGCCGGTGCTCGAGGCCGGCAGAAGGCATGAGAATAGCTAAGTCATTGAAAGTGAGCCTTGACGTGGACTTGGCTTTGCTCCCTTGTGCAAAAACCAGTGGTCTGCCGAGGCTCCATGCCAGCGAGGACACTGGCAGACACACCGGGTTACTTGCTCGCCGCGCTTTGAGGCATGGCGTGCAACGCAAACACTGGGTGTGCATTTTGCAAAGCATGGCGCTTTGGAAACAGCGCATTTGTGCCATATTCAGTGCAGCGTCGCTTCGCTGCTGGGTTTCGATGATTCCGATTGAAACGGGTGAGTTGCGCATGTGCTTTCAGCAACCTTCTAATGACCTCTGAATGGTTGCTCTCTCATCATGTTTTTTTGTTTTTTTTTTTTTTGGGGGGGGTTTTGCAAGAATGCCACAATGCCCTGATTTTGACTCATTCGAGCTTCATCAAAGCAGTGCTTTGAGGACAACTTTTCCTAGAATAGGATCATGCAGGACCTTGCACTGTTCCTGGGCTCTTACCTGTTTGCCATTCCGCGTGAGCTTTCAGTTTGGCCTGCCCAAAGGCAGTCGAACAAGGTAGGTACATAGTTCAACCATTGATCCTAATCCACTCCGTTTCGCCATCCAGCGTCTAAAACAGAACCGCTTCGCAGGCGCCTCGGGCCAGAAAAAGAACGCCACGGCACCTCGCCGCCCGCGCCGCCGAAAGCGAAGTTCTTCCATTTGCCGGACATATGTTTATGTTTTTCCCAGGGGGTCTTAACCAAACGGAAGATTTTCTTGGCCGCGAGTTGGGTTCCCCAAGAAGCCGCAGGCGGATTTGCGGCCGGAGCTGCGGGACTTTGCGCCTCAGAGCTGGAAGGACCTGCCGGAGGACCCATGGTGACAAACGGTTTGTCAGTCGTGCAGGTCAAGCCCGAATGCCGAGAGTCAGTTTGTAAAGCCATTTTTATTTAAGCCTTGTTAAAAAATAAGAAAAACAACAAAAACCACAACTAAGCTTGATTAACCCCAAACAAAAACTGAACCGCCCTAAGCCCTAAGACCAAAGCAAGCAAAAACTAAGCCAGCATTTGCCGTCCGTAGGCGCGGAAGGACCGGGAGTGCTTCGGCCTTGCCACGCTGCAGGCGCTGCAATGCGCGCTGCGCGCCTGCCGTCGTGCGGCTTGCTGGCGGTCCAGGGAAAATGGTCGGCACTAGTGGCTACATGGGCCTGATGTGCTTAATGGAGCCGAAACAGTGGACATCACAAACTTCGGTGGGGATGAATTTGTCCACCACTTGAGGTGGTTCTCTATTAAAATCCATGGCCACATGTTGGAAATGAACAAGCGTTATTGCCTGCAAAGAGGTTTTACGAGCATCATTGCACCAAAAGACTCTGATGCTGGTGAATCAAGTTGACGCAGCGAGTATGGAACGTGGCTATGGTGGTGACCTTTGAGCATCAAACGCCGGCCTCAACAATAGACCCCCCAAAGCAAATGGTTCAGAAATGGGCCGAATTGCTGGGGCCAAATTTGAGTTTGCATTTGATTTTGTAGTGCCGGAGCTTCCTTTTGAGATTGGGTTTGAGGGTTGAATCTCCATTTGACTTCATATCGCTGACCTTG